AAATTTTGTAAACATTTTCAAGCCTAACATTTTTATTGACAAGTAAAAATATATAAAATAAATAATAAATTAACAAAATAGCACAAACATATTTTGAAAATTTAATCTTGTATGGAAAATGGTCATATAAACATTTAGTGAAAATATAAAGTCAGCATCTACTGTTATTTATTTTTGAGTTATAAACTACAAAGAAACAAAATCGATTTTATAGAACAAAACTGGTTTTGCCCCTGATGCTTTTGAAAACCACTTGAAATTTTTCATTTTTCATAAGTATCAACTACTATTTACTACCAAAAATTGTTTTTCAAATAACGCACTTCATTGTAAAATACATTCATTTATAAATACTTTGTATTTTTACACTTGTTTGCATATTTTAGACGACATACATAATTTAAATGTAGATTACCGTTTTCATTGCTTTATTAGGGAAAATATTTTATTTTTATTTTATATTATTATAATTAGGTATATACGCTTTGAACATATGATTATATATATAAGTGTTTACTGTGTCTTATCTTTATATTATGTGCAAAATTTTAAATAAAATTTATATTGGTTCAGATTTTGATTTTTTCGATGTCATTAGACTAGACAATTTTAGTAGGCTTATTACTGTGAAGGAGGGTATAGTTGGTTAGAACACGTGTATATTTGTCTAGGATTTGTCACCAATCCGCTAGTGACTCCGGCTGATGCTTGACTTCAGAAAACGTTAGTCACTGAAGCCAAACACCGTGCCACATCAGGCCACTATAAAAATGTTATTTGACTGAAAACAAAAATAAACTCATTTTTTAATGTTTTCCTGATTATTATGTTTTTATTTTAACCAATGTCGAATTCATTATTCTAAAGGTCATAATTTTACTTTTATTCTATTATATTTATATAATATGCTTGAGTTTATTATTAGCACACAAATTTCAAGTATTTTGAAGTCATTATTAAATCCACAATAACGCACTTCATTGTAAAATACTAAAATCTATTCACTTACTTCGATTTAAAATTTTTCATGTCATATTTATACCAACTCAGTATATGCCTAAAAGTTGATATATGTCTCCTGAAAGCCAAAAGATTGCTCTCCCACTTAATCTCAAATCAATCAACCCATATCAACATTTAGCAAAAAATTGGCAGGTTAGGTTTTAAAATTTGCAAGAGATTGTTATAATATTATAGAGAAAGGAACAAAAATAAATAAAGGTGGGCCAACTTTACGTAGCCCCCTTTTTTCAACCACAAGTTCAAAACTGGTATCGTTCGATTTCTCATAATTAGTTAAGTAATTGCAAGTCCATTTGGTTTCAGTATGAACTATTTATGAGTAACCATAGTGTTTTGTGTTACTCTGTAGAAATTTTAAGCTAGTTATGTTACATTAATGTGTATTTCAAAGTAAGTATACAGAGATATATTTTTTAATAGAAAATTGTACAGCGTACCTATGTCAAATTATATTTTAGTTATGAACAAATTCCAAATAAATGGTTTTATATTGTACAGCAGACAAGCTAGATTTTCAAATAACTCAAAATGCATTTTATAATTATTCGGTTGGTATGGAAATGCATTTTGAGTTATTTGAAAATCTAGCTTGTCTGCTGTACTTACTTAATTTCTAGTAATATATTACGTAAGACCTTCCTTACATAATATTTTATAAATTGAGTCATCTACTCGTATAACTGTGTGGTGGTTATTATTAAATTGGTAACATTTTTTAAGGGCAATGAAATTCATGGTATCAGCTAGTATATTATTCATGAATATATATAATATAATCTTTACACTAGGTCGTATAATACTTAGTATTCAGCAATATATTATTATGTATTATTATTATTTATGTATATTATTCGAAGAAATTAAAATAATTCAAAATAGATACTTTTATCATACCAAGCTTAAAATAGATAACCACTATAACAATATAAAACTAATATTGATTTTAAGGATGAAAAATTTATTTTTTGTTCCTATGTTAATTTGGTCCGATTTTGTTGCACGTATAAATTCTCCAAAATATTAATTAAGGTAGTTTGGACCTAGTGTGTAGTTCTTGTTTCGCCACTTCATCATTGACCACCGTGCATAATCATTCTACGTTTTTCCCTCGGACAGCTGCCACAGAATCAACAAAACAATTGTAAATGTGATTAACTGCAAAGCTAAGTGTCCACCGTTCTCGAATTCTTGAATAGGTTTCTACTTAACTTAAGCAAGCCAACAATCAGAATATTATATCGTTTCCCACGGTTTATTATAATACCTTCGATTTCTTTTAGTAGAATTGGCATTGATCTGTCCGGGACTATAATGAAAAAAGCTATGCAAAAATAATGGGCTAGCTAGTTAACATAAAAAGTAAGTACAAATTATATTGTCATTAGTTATTAACTGTTCTTATAAGGAATGTATAGTTGCTGGTCCAACCATCTCCTTCGCTAGGAATACCTTTTTCTTGGACAATAGTTAGGTAAGTTATTACTGCACATCCATTATGCGGCGAGAGCTACTCAATGACGATTGACGATATACATAGGTACAGTATAGATACACACTCAACTTGAAACCTTTTAAATACGTCAAAGCGATATCCAACTACGCCATCATTAATAATCTAAATAATAATAAACCTAAATATTATTAAGAATTTATAATTTATTATTAACTATAATTTATGCGATTCTATAAAAGTTGTCTTCATCGAAACCTTTAAGTGTTATGATGCTCTTCACAACAACAATGACCGGTGATCTTAAAACAATAGAAAACTATTATAACTAAGAGCATTACATTGTACTATAGCGCGTCGTGAATACTTATTCTTTAATGATTACTATATGATTTATAGTGGGTACTGGGTTCAGTTTTTTTTTGCGTTGAATTTATTGTGTTTGCTAAAAATGATTTATTTTATTTTGCGACAGTGAAGAAACTGCAAGGCACGGAAAGTTTTTTAAGTCTTACGTTTTACAGTTCTGCAGTTCATCAATTTAATGCTACTGGTTTTCTATATAGTTTTCCAATGGACATTTGAAACCGTTGGAAAGATTTTATAAAAAAAAAATGCACCTCTAAATATTGCAATGATTCAGGGACGTAATGAAGGGGGGATGCGATAAAAAAATGTCTATCCCCCCCTCCTCAGAACAAATTCTTAATTAGCCCACTGCAAAGACCGATCTCCAGTATGGACCACAATATTATTGTAAAAATATTTTGCGAAACACTACCTATCTAGCGACATTTTGCTTTAAATAAATATATTAATAATTTATTTATTGTGCTAAACAGAAAAAAAGAAGATCAGGTACCTAATTCAATGTAAGAATCATCTCGTTGTCCACAAAATAAAAATATTATACAGTATATTATGATATAATATTTGTTAACAATTCTTATAGTGAATCTATTTAGATTACTCTGTAATAAATTCGTATGATTAAAACATTATCTTACAAATAAAACGCTCGAACGATATGATAAATACATTTCAATAAGACAAATAGTATTTAAAAAAATTAATACAGAGTACATTGCCATTAAAACATATAAAACGTCTTTGATAAAATATAAGTACACGATTTTTGATCGTGATAATAACGCACCTAATTTATATAATATTATGCTTAATACTAATCAATACAATCCATAAACATTTGTTTTATACAGCATGTCAACATTGTGTACACCTTAAACATTATTCAAACTTTACTCTTAATTTATAGGTTATTATAACTACTATATAAGATAACATAAAGGAATTACTCATACATTTACTTGTTCTCATAAGTTATAATAATAATTTCAGGTCAAGTATAGGTATGCAACTGAATGCCGTAAACAATATAACATAATGTAATATTAATTTTCAATGGTATTTTACAGTAAATTCTGCTTAATATTATATTATTTGGCTAACAACAAAATTATTGATTATTTTGGTTACCCAATTCATATATATATATAACAATTAATAACTAATTACCAGTTAACAGTTCATCACTCATCAGTATTTATTGAACTACTTTGCAGTTTATTAAATGTATCTATTTTGAGCTTCATCACACACATTTCTGAAACCTTTCTCATAAAAAAAAAAATACTAATAAGTAACAACTTACAGAGAAAACTAACATAAATTGGCATCCGTTCATACGTCTTAGTTTTAGTATTTTTTACGCGTTGATAATAGAGGACTGTAATTTAAAATTTAAATGTATGGGCAAATACTATTTATAAGCTTACATGGTGTACGCCACTGAACTCGATTACCGATAAGTATCAATTATTTAATATTATTATGCAATGACAAACCAAATACCTTAGTATAGTTATAATAACGTAGGTCGTGGTTAATATCCATAAACAAATCATTTTTAGTTTTTAATTCCGAAACGCACGTGTGTATGTGAAATTTGAATTCACAACGATAAACGGCCATCGAAAATATGAACAAAATGGAAAACATATGTTAAAAAATGTGTAATTATTAACTTAATTAGTTACGTTATTTAAATTTAACATTATTATATATTTTAATTTGTATCAAGTAGAATAAACTTATTCCAAAAAAATTAATGTTTGTGCAGGGTCAATTATATATTAAACTTAATAAAGATTAATAAATTCATCAAATAAATGTATAGATACGTTTAATTTAATTTATAAAACTCGCTGAGATACCTATTGTTGTTTTTAAAAAGTACACCAAACGGCCAGCGCTGTTGAACATCCAATAGCTATTTTAATTTTTCTTAGAAATGTTGTAAAAAATAGTATTTATTATTTTCGTCTTACACGTAAACAAATAAAATAAACACCGTTAACTACCTTCGGTGAGTTTGTCCCTGAGACTTTATTACAATCTGCTGAACATGCAGATTTGAAATATTTAAATTAACCCCAAACAACCCCTGGGTCGATAATAAGTTGTATAATATAATGCTATTAATTGTTACATTATTTAAATAATAATATTATGCGGGAGTGATTTAAATAAATAAACAGTTTCTGACGAACATTTAGACCCCCCCCCCCTAATTAGGCTTGCTGCAAAGTTACACACTGAAATCGAATGGTTTTTAATATAATTTAATAACATATTGTTATGTGTCAGTTACTAGTGCCTTCGTTCACTTTTTCTCACGATTTTTCGTCTTACACTTTGAATAAAAAATATTATGTAAGTACCGGCATTCAGTCATTATATGAGAGATTAATATGCACAAAATATGTTATTTAACGACTTCTTATCTGTTCTGCATCGAATAACCGCAGACGACAAGAACGCGAATCAATGGCGTGAGTTCGTGGGAAGCAGCAGCAGCAGCATGGGGATGATCATATTTAAAGTATAAGGGTAAGGGTGGTGGTGCGCTTAAATCGAACGGTTTTTTTAACATAAAAAATATAATATTATCATTATTGTTACGATGAGTATATGGCCGCGGAGAGAGCAGCGTTAAGCCGGATTCACGGCTACGTCGTGTGTCGCGTCGAGAGAGTTGTGTGGTGACTATAATACAATGGTCATCATAACTGGTAACCAATATGGTTTAAAAGTCAAACTGTGTTCAACACGCTTGGTACATAGGTACACATTGGTTACAACCAGGTTATTGCGCACGATGCATTGAAAAATGAATGCCCAGATCAACACGACGACGCGGCACACAGCGCAGCCACGAATGCGCCCCTAGCCTAAGACGCCGACTGCATCATCGCAGCACCTCCGTTGACGGTCTGCAATGGGTGCGGCGGCACTTCTTCGCGGACGCGGTGGAACACCTTGGTGCCGAACTGCAGCGCCGCGCCCACCGGGAACTTGACGTTCAGCCACACGGAGAACCTCATGTTGTAGTTCAACACCGGCCGGAACACGAAGGCCAGCCAGGCGTTGGTGAGCAGCACGGAGTGCGTGAACACCTGCACGTTGTACATCCACCGGCTGTACCGGGCGACCAGTGGCTGCCGTACCGGTACGCCGCACAGCTCGTGGGTGAACGCCATGAACGCGTCCGTGTCCAGCATGGGCGAGATGGGCTTCATGCCGTCCAGCAGCGCCTCCACCATGTGCTCGAACCGCGGCGGCGGGTTCAACAGCCCCGGCGCATACACGTCCCGCAGGATCAAGGCGCACGTGCCGCGCACCTCCTCCAGGGAGCCGCTGCACAGGTTGTACCTGCGACCGCAACAATAACGCATCGTTAGGCATATGATATATATAACTAAAGGTATATTTATTTGTTTGTTTATCTATTGTGTACCTTTATGATAACGTATATTTTATACGAGTCTATCTTATAATATATAAGAGGCCAAAAGTCGTAAGAAACGATGGTAGAAAGATTAAATTGACATTAAGGTTAAACTCAGACTGAGACTAAACGAATAAGTGACGACTAAGACCTAATTCGCTGTTGAGATAAATTTATAATTACATAATTATATTGCAATGGATGGTGAAAAACAAAACCTTTTTTTTATTAAGGTACAAAAAATAGAAGGGAATCTTCTATTAAAATGTGTAATCTTATTTTGGTAAATATGAGAAAAAAAACTTTTACGAATTTCCAACAGAAATAATTCCCAAATTCTCCTCATTTTGATGAATTTTGCCAAAATTTGAATTTTAAATGCATATAAAAAATGTGAGTTCTAATTCTATGTATTTTTAAAATTTTGTATCAGGTATTAAAGCATCTAATGAGGACTATTAAGTTGAATTGTCAAGCTTTTTTTTTAATAAAAATGTTTTTATCGATAATAATCTAAAAAAAAAATTTTCAAGGCTATAAATAGCTCATAAAAATTTCGAATATGTTACCAAATATGTAAAATTATTAAATTAATATTTTGTGAACATATCAAGTGCCTATACCTAATATTTTTTGAGTTACAACAAAAATATAAAATCGATTTTTTCAAAAATTGGTTTTGTGTAAAAATTACCATTTTGTTAAACTTTTTTTTTTTGTTTTCAAGACCTTTTCAAAAAGTTCTGAGTAGCAAGCACCAACTAGATTCGCTTTTTTTTATCAGAAAAGATGCTGATGTCCAAAATTGGAGCATTTTTACTGACCCAAATGTTGATGACAGACGGACAGAAAAAAAGGGAAAAAAACACATATCATTGAAAATGCAATACGTTTGTTCTTTACTTTCAAAATGTAAAATAGCAAAATTGATAAAATTAAAAATATTTATGCCCTTCAAGAATTTGTTTAACTTGAGAAAGTTCTGGCCGATGTAAAATAAGCTTGTTTATATAGGTTAAATTTCTTCAATCGGACTTTTGAAAGTAGGTACTTAAATTTTTGTCAATCTTATGAATATTTTACGTCAATTAATTGATTTTGAATATTTTGATCTAATGACTAAATTACATGTGCATGTGAATGAGTAATATACATGACAAGAGTGACTGGTGGGGAAGTAACACATACTAATGATCATTAAATACACATCCAAAGACGTGTGTGATCGCCAGGAACGAAAGAATTGCCTAAACACAACTCCTTAAAAATGACACGTTTGCAGGGCCATTAATATGAAAATATAAGAAATTCGTTTGCAAGTTAATTTCGTGGAAAATTCAAACATGTATTCATGTAACTTCAAATGGAAAAAGATTGATACTATTAACTAAAAAAAAAAAATAAATAATTTATGTTCGTGTAAAGCGTTATTGACATGTGAGTGCCAGTGAGAGAAATCTCTGTTGTTTCTTTTACACACAGTCACACCTCACACTAACGATCACTTACTAAATAGTTACTAAACACACATGAAACATTCACACGACCCGCAAATTTTTAGAAAATTGCCTATAGTGAACTTTTAAAAGGCAGTCGCTAATCGAATCCACTTAAATAAAACAGCACAATATACCTACTATTGTTCATAAAATTTGAAAACTACGTAAATAATCAAACACGCAAACATCTGAATTATCAATTGGTAGTTAATATTATAATTTAATATTTCTTTTTTCAATTACATATATAAGTAGTGAATACTTATTCTGAAAATGGCATTAATTATAAATTGTCTAATTGTGTGAATAATAAAATAATAATTGATTTATAGGTTGGTATTTTGTTATACCTATATGGCTGTATTAAATCACACTAAATAATCCTTTTTTTTTAAATGAATTTCCACGACCAGAATTATAATGTAAATACATTGATTTTTTTGAAATTATGTGAAGCGTATAGCGCACGTGTTACATACAAATAAAATCTATACGATTGCACAACACGACGACATTTTAACCACGCCTTACAACAGTATAAAAAAAAGGTTTTTTTGTTAGGGGTGATGAGTTCGTCATATCATTAATATCCCTTAAAATGCATAAACGTCAATAATATTCAATACTACAACCTTTAAGTACTCACCTAACCATTTAAGTTGTATTGAGAACAATTTAGTTTAATAAAATACCATAAAAAGGTAATAAGTATAAAATATAGATTCGTAATAAAAATACTTATACCTATAGGCACCAACTACCTATGTCCTACATAATATTGAATGAATGTATTAATTTTATTCATTAGTGCAATTATGCAGTGCTCATATGTATGACGAATGCAAAATAATTAAAATATGTGCGATACAAACTGCAAAATGATTTTGTTTAGATAAGTGATTCATTTTTTTGTAATTCCTACAAATTAAATTTGTAATTTTAAGTAATAATTCTTATACACGTGTCTTAAAATATTTCTTAGTATAGGTACGTAAGATTAAACATTAAAAAATAGATAAAATAACGATTCTGTTTTCCTTGACACTCGGATAGTACATAATAGATACCTATGTATGACGGCGAAGTCGATAATAATGTAAATATTACTCACTTGTCTTGAATTCCCAACAAGTATCCAATAGTTCGCCAAAAATGCAGAAGGGCCCTTTCATCTTCTTCGGTTCCTACAATGGCCAATTCTTTTTTTTTCAACAACGGTAAGCCCATGAATCCGAATTGAGTTAAAGACATATCTTTTTGAGTTACCCGCAGTCCAAGTCCAGACTTATTCGACACTCGATTCGCAGCACAATGAAGTCCATGTACAATGGCCACAGAAATTTGAGATCTGAATACAATATAATATTTTAAGTAAACTGGTTTGCATATTTGATTGATTACTGGAGAATAAATTTAATGATTGTGATTGTTGAATGTATAAAGGTAGGGATATGTTATAAGTTTGTAAGGTTTTTGATGTACATCATTAGGCACAAGTACGAAGTACATTAGATAACTGTATAGCTGTTAATCAAATATACTTCAGTGTTTGTATGATCAATTTTTACGACTTTACAAGTTTACAACTTAATATATTCTTATCCAGGAACATTAAATCCATCATACTTGTTTATTATTTTAAAAACTTATTTTTACATTTTATTTTTTAAAAATATGAAGTCCGAAATTCTTTCATGCAGTATTTTTGGCTCGTGTTTTAAATAGTTTTGGGCAAATCTAAAATATTTTTCCCCAGAAATTACGAAAAATTGTATAGTAGTGAGTAGTAATTAAGTAAATAGATATAATCACAAAAAACAACAAAGTATATTATAAGACATAAAGAGGCAAAAACATAAATTGAAATTACATGATCGAGAATGGGATTTTGTTTGTTTACATGTATTTTTTTTTATTTCTTATCAGGTAATAGGTATATGGTACATATCAGAGGAAAGTATATTTTATTATAACTGATAAGTTATCTTTTTTTGTGGTTTGTGCAGTATACATTTGTTTTCAGCAGGTTTTACTTATCAAGGTAGAGAAATTAAATTTTTTAGGATTATTCTCATTTACATACCTAATATTTAACTACAATCAAATTTACTCAAAATTTGACCATGCAATTCGTATTTACGCCTTCGTTTAGAAGGTATTTGTTATTTGTTACATCCCGCTGTAACTAGGTAACAATTATAGGCGATTCATTTTAATGGATCACAACCAGACTACAAATACATATTTTATATTTAGATTCTTATTGGAAAATGTATATTTAAATAAATAATTAAATATCTATTTTTGCATACAATTTTTAATCAAATATTTGAAATAATTTGAATAAGTATTTTTTGAAAGTATGGTAATGTCATAATAAGTATGTCGTAATTGGTATTATACATAATATATTAAATATTCACTTACTTTGACTTAGCATTTGTCGCGTCGTATCTATACCACCTCAGCATGTGCCTAATGGTATCAAGATACCTCCTAAAAGCGGTGTAAGGATCTGAAGATTTATTTGTGAACACTAATACATCCAATATTGTTGGGACTGTTAATACCAATATTAATCCAATCAAATTTGAAGCGAACATTGCATAGAAATTGGAATAAAAATACTTTTGTCCCCTGAAAATAAAAAAATAAAAATTTTCAAATTATTTTTCTTACACACATCGTTTTATTATTAAAATACATCAACACACACTTTATTGTTATTTCAATTTTAATATCAGAAGTCCCGTACAAAATATTTTATTTATTTTTATTTTTTGCTTCATACAGGCCATTAAAGGAACCTTACCGTTACTACCATTTCTTCTCAATGACAAATTAATAAAGAACGCATTTGATCATTTCATTCTATAATTTTAAGTATATATATATACCTACTATAGTAAAAAACATAAGTATCCATATATCTTATAAAACAAAAAAGAACCTTTAACCCTCAAAACAGTTGTATAATAAGTTAAGGAATGCCTTAATTATCTACCTTTAAAACTATCTTAGTAGGTAGTTCTAACAAAATATTCTATGAGCTAGGGCAGTGCATGACTTTGTAGATCAATTAACTTACTGTGTTCATAAATCATAATTTATTATTGTGAGATAAAATTCTATTATAATTTACGATCTTTTTAAATGAATTAATCGTTTTAATGAAATGTTACTTTGTATTTTTACACGTGTTTGCATATTTTAGACGACATACATAATTTAAATGTAGATTACCGTTTTTATTGCTTTATTAGGGAAAATATTTTGTTTTTATTTTATATTATTATAATTAGGTTTATAAGCCTTGAACATGAGTATATATAGGTATAAGTGTTTATTATGTCATGTCTTATCTATATATTATGTGCAAAATTTTAAACAAAATTTATATTGGTTCAGATTTTGATTTTTTTGATGTCATTAGACTAGATAATTTAATAGGTTTATTACTGTGAAGGAGGGTATAGTTGGTTAGAACAAGTGTATATTTGTCTAGGATTTGTCACCAATCCGGGAACTAGTGACTCCAGCTGATGCTTGACTTCAGAAAACGTTAGTCACTGAAGCCAAACACCGTGCCACACCAGGCAACTATAAAAATGTTATTTGACTGAAAACAAAAATAAACTTATTTTTTAATGTTTTCCTGATTATTATGTTTTTATTTTAACCAATGTCGAATTCATTATTCTAAAGACTATAATTTTACTTTTATTATATTATATAATATGCTTGAGTTTATTATTAGCATACAAATTTCAAGGACTTTGAAGTCATTATTAAATCCACAATAATGCTACATTTACAAATAATGACATAATCACATGGCGTTGATATATTACATAGATATTGTTAAAATATTACGATGTGTTTGTCATAAAATAGTCATAAATAATGAAGATAATGTAACAGTTAATATTTTCAATGATTTTTTCAAATACATACTACATTAAAATATTAAATCAGTTTAAAGAAAAACCATGTTATTTTCGCGATATTTAATTTTTTTAGTTTCTATTTATAGGTAAAATATTATAAACCAAATACTAGGATTAGTAATTTTAACTATTAATTATTATTGTACCAAAAATCCTATTCGAATAGAATCAATTACTAACCAACTCTAACCATTTTTTATAGCCTGAGTCAGATATAATTTATAATCAAAAAAGCTCAAATTTTGCCACCTTAACCAATTGTTGAACAGACCTAAACAAAAATATCTCGGACACTCGACACATTTTTGCGACCTCAAAACGGCGTTGGGCATAGATTAAATTATCGTTGTATACAGAATTACAGCTGCTTACCTACATAGTATTATATGGATTGGGAAAATGTGACGGAATATCTAAGTGATAAGCACTGACTGCAAACTTATATTGTTATAAAATTATTAATTACTCAGTATAGTTATGAATTATATAAGTATAACTAAGCATAGGCATTACATTTGGCTATTGAAAGATTAAGCACGTCTTATCTTTCTTTTCAGACGATTGAGCACGCTTAAAATATCACACAGAGCTCACCGCCGACCTTAAAAAATCAATACGATTCAGCACGATATTACGAGCAACGTTGCCATATCATTTATTTAATTACGAAAAGTCACAAGTGAAATGTTGAACTAAATCAACTAGTTAATGACAAATATATTCATTACATTTTCTGATACACGATTAGGCAAGTTACCTACTCGATTGGTTTCTATCGTGATTTCAACATACAAGATGCTGTAACTTGGAAGTGTGTAACTGATTACAATTTACGAGTGACATTTACAGACTATATACAAAAACAGTAGTCAGTGACTTAAAGTTAGTTTCATAAGTTATCACCAGTTACCTACTTAATTAATTTTGCTTATTTTTTGGAGAAAATAATGACATTATTAAATATTTGTTTATAGGCTTTAATATAGAATACGCATATATTAGGTATGTAAGTAAAATTTGAAAGTAATATTAACATTGTAATGTATAGTAATGTACCAGTATAGTAAGAACTGAGAGCATATTATTACTATAAGATACGATATAAGATATTATATAAGATATTACTATATCCTTACCTTAGGATAGAAACTCATACACCAATAAAACAAATAAAAAAATGATTGAATTTGTTATATTGGAACAAAAAAATGAATAGCGTGCTCAATATTCGTAATTATACTCAAAATATTTCTACATAAAGATCGCACTGTCAATCGTATTTCACTGTTACATTTTGGTGTTTAAAATGTTTTCCAAAACTATAAGCTGACGATTTTATAAGTCAAGTAAAGTATCAAAATATCTATCTACACATTATTACATTATAGTAATTTTTATCGTTGCTATTATAACTGTTTAAGTATAACTTTTGATTAATGATTTAATGGCACTTGGGTCGATCTAAATGTAGGTTAACACGTAACATCCTAACATATATATTTAGATTATTTATTTAATATTCTGTCATCTGTCCCTATTTGGAACAACAAAACTACGTTAAATCATAACCCTAGGTATCATTTAATTTTTTTATTTGTTGTTGGTGCGTAAGTGTATTTAATATTTTATTCAACAGATCCATTTTTTAAATTTAATTGTTATGATGTTGATAAACAATTAATAAAATAAATTATATAAATGCAATTGTATAATAATATATACATCCTAAAATAGGTAATATTTTATTTTAAATATTAACTCTTTATAATACCCAGTATTCTTTAAAAAATCGGTTTTCTTACAAATTATGAGAGTAAGATATTTATTAGATAAGATAAATCAAGTTATTTAAAAATACAATAATATAACACGTGTTATTATGACTAATAAATTAACTATAGGTAGTAAGCAAGTGTATATCTCAGCGGAGCTTAAACGTCCAAATACTACGATTAATAGTCAATTTGTAAAAATAATAATTCAAAGGTAATCATAGACCACATTTTATTGCTTATGACTTGCAAATAGTACAACTTACAAGTTATAATACATGTATTTAGGGAAATATACAGACTTATACATATATAGTACAAAACGACGACAACCAAGACAATAAATGATTAAAACATCGACAGGGATAATATAAAGTAACCTACCTATCAATTATTATCATAGGTCAAGATGTCGATAGCTGAAAAACAAAAATATTATTATAAAGTAACATGAATTATGATAAATTTTATATTTATACCGACTCGGTCAGTCAGACAATATAGATAAGTAACCTTAGTAACCACTGACTGTCTATATTATAGCGGGAGATAAGACAAAATGCCTTGCTCCGCTAAAATATGACAGTCCGTGAGAAGATATACTTCCTAATTTTAATACAGAACATATTAACGATGAAAAAATAAAAGTGCATTAAAACATCAAAGTCTTTAATAATACAAACATAAATAAGTAAGCAATAAGTTAAGGATGCGAATAAAATATTTTATATACAAAGTGATTTTTTAAACATGCGCATACTCATTTTTCCCTTTAATAATATATTTATTAAAATTCTGATTTTTAGAATTTTTGAATGTAGCTAAAAGCCATATTTTCAAATTCCAGATATTGTTCGTACTACCTAAGGAGTGTCCTGTGATAATACAAACTTCTATTTTTTTTTATATTTTACTTTTAATTCCCCAAAGTACTGGGGAGTACAAATTAGATTCATAGAGCATTTTTAATGCTTTAAAAAGTGATGAGTGATGACAAACGCAAAAAAAATAAAAATAAAAATCACACATTGTAAAATCGATAGATACGTCTACTTAGAATCTAAAATAAGAAAAACAGTATTGGACTTATATTATGTATTTAGTAATAATATCATAATATATACCATGAAAATCATATTTTTTATAAATGTTTATGGTGGTGGTTAATCAATTGCTTGCTTCGTTTTATAATTTTAAGTCTTATTATTTGTATATATGTTTTTTTGTCTTTTAATTTATTATAAAATTAAAGTTTATGATTTTAAAATCGATGATCATTAGTCATTTTCTATTAGATATATTGACGTTAATTTAAACACTTTAACCTGTCGATGATTTATTGTTTTTCAACGTTTCATGTTTTTCGACATTATGAGTAGACATCATATTAAACAACTACCTATAATAAATATCATATATTCATATAGGTCAGAGGTATTCAAACTTTTTCATTCAACGGCACCTTAGTGTTTTCACAATATTTGACGGCTCCCAAAGTTTTGGCGATGTTTTAATCAATGACGACTGTTGACGAATATAACTCGGGCAATAAATGATAATAGCAATGACTTTACTACCTTAAAAATTAAACTTTAAATTTTTATAATCTCTGTAATGATTAAAAATAATACATTTTATATTTCTATATTACATTAATTTTGGTTCCCAGTTCTTTTACGCGGCTCTCTTTGCCTACTACCGCGGTGCACAATTTGAATACCTCTGATATACGGGCAATTAATTATATTTTTATTAATTAATTACACAAGTATTGAAGTATGTATTTTAATTAGATGATTTTACCGCATTTATTCGTGACTAAATAAAATAATTTTGATTAAACGTAGTCAAACTGGCTGACCTCATTATAAATAAAAACAAACATTTTTACTCAATGTTTACATATTTTTTACGATCGTGTGAAATTAATGAATTCAGTGATTTGAATGATGATGGTTTTATTTTCAAGCACCAAAAACTTGAATGAATTCCAATATTCTATTCTATTACATCAGAAACGTTAAAAAAATACCTTATTGTGAAATTTGATTTGCGTTTACGAATATATTATTTCTTATATTGCGATGTAAGTATGGCAAAAACAATTCAAGTGTATTGTATGCATCAATTAACACATTATTAATAGCCGTTACTTATTATAACTCACATAGTCATTACTCGTTATATGCGTTCATAGGGTATTTAGGTACAATAATTGCAATTTTGGTATTGTAACAATAAATAATTAGGAATACTGAAAACTACTTTGTGAGTAAAATATATATCATGCAATTACAACTGCATAACGATGGGTCAAATAATGTTTTCATTAGAGAAGTCTGTATAAAACACAAATGAAACAATAACCAACGAAATTATTTCAAAGTTTAGCTCGTTACAATAATTATTATTTATTACAAATATGCATACGTATATAAAACTTTGGTTAGGTACCTATGAAAAAATATTCTCGACATTTATTGAACGACTTAGCTCGTTTGTCCCAAAAATAGTTTTACTGTTATCTCATGTATTATCAATACAAAGTAGGTATGTAGTCCACGGATATAATAACGACGTTATTGGAAGAATGGATTTTAAAATGTTCGTTTCTTTTTTCGTAACATTGCCTCGTCATTTAAACATAGTAATTAGGTACTAAAAACTCGCCACATCGATAACCCAAATTTGTTGTTTTAGCTGTAAATTTACAGTAGTTAGATGGTTTTACCTGGCGAACAATTGCGCGTCGAACCATTCCGGAACTCCTTTTGGCCGTACGGTGTCGACAGGCACGTTGCTTCCGGCTTCCATGATGGTCTTGAACTTTTCCTTTGCGGCATCGTCAGTTTTCGTCGAATGCGACACTGCGTCAATCGATAACATAACACAATACTATTATTGTATAATACGTATTATACACAGCCGCGGAGAAAAGTTAAGAAAATCGAAAAGAAATAATGATAAATAATTATAATTTCCAAATGTTTTCGTCGAGTCTTACTTGTAAAGTGGATACTTTGGAGTGTGTACGGCGATGACACGGAGGTACAAAAATACCGCTATCTGGTCGCTAGCTTGCTGGACGAACACTGAGCGAATAGTAAAAAAAATGTTAAAAAATTAAAAATATATTGCAGGAAAAATACGATCGAACCTGACGTCCGTCGACTCCGTCGGCGCGAGGCGAGCGAATGACTGCTCGACGTTCACGTCGGTGCGCGCTCACCGTGTGTGTGCAGACAACACCATCCGACCAGGATGGTTCGACGGTAGAAAGTGATGGCCAAACCGGTATTATTATCGTTAACGTGTAGTTACGAGACGACGACCGCCGCCGCCAGGGCCACCTGTCATAGCTGCTGTGGTTGTCGAGTAGAGCTCTAGCACAACACTAGTAGTTGTGCCACCTAATATAGTGGGAACAATAATAATAAAACAATAAAAAGATAGTGATAACGATAATGGGTAGGACGTAGTGATAGTAAAAATATACCGACGAAAAATAAAAATACAACAACAATATAATAATTGACGCCAGCTGTAGCGTGTGCGTTCGTGCGTGTCCCGAAAGGTTTTTTTTCGCCAACACTTCGTCACGTCACATAAAAGCACGCAGGACACGTGAACTCGTCGATATTATAACGATAATATACAAGCAGGACTACCGCGTTTGGCCAGGAAATGTTAGGCGGATACCTATATTTACGTAGGTACATTTCGTAAGTTTTTCAATGTCACTATATATCGAGGTACCTATACAACTATACCGCATACCTAGGTACTTATATCTGCGGATATGTTTATTATTATAATTTACAGTATGATTCAAACCAACATCATCTTCCGATTGCTATAGTAGCATACTAATTATTCAGTAATTTTGCCATCTACATATCCGTTCAATGATTAATGTAATATTATGATACGTTTTTGTGAGACGCAATTGCTTTTCACGTGCCCTTAACCAGTTTTTTAGGAGGCGCATCGACGAAAAGCTTATTCTTTCTGCGCACGTATCGGATTTACAGGCTCACAGGAATACTGCGCAGTTATAGAGCAACTTGTAACAACATATGCATATTAATCTTTTTTTATAAAAACGTAGTATAGTAAAAATATTACACAAAACAGAGAAACAGCTTATTTTTCAAATAACCTTTAGTGTTCTACTATACTGCGGTGCTGAAGCACGCACAACCTCCCCCCTCTGAGGCCCTAGTTTGTACTCACGTCAATATGCACGATGCATGTACTATAGTTATATTTTGTTCGACAGTTAGCAAACAGTTTTCATACGACACACCCATTGGCTATTATAAAAATTTATGATCAAGTAGCCACGCAAAATAATTATTATCAAAATATTTATTAAATAAAATGTCATGGACTCTTACATTTATATGACATTCCAACGTAGCCAAAACAGTAAACAGTTGTAAAAATAAAATAGTTTGAGCCAACTTTTTGATTATAATATTTTAAATTAATTAATAGTCACAATAATATATCGTGAATTTGTAATGTTTTGTTGCGTATATTCTAGTGTAGGTAGGTATAATAGAAAAAAACTCACCGTTGTTAATCTAATGTAGGTACCTATATTCCATGCATTCCTTTAGATTCTAACGTGTTCAATCAATAATAACTGCAAATACATATTGTTTTTAAGTTAACACGTATTAGTATAAGTTCCTACTAAACTTACATAATATGCACATGTCCATTCATTCAAACTATACATATTATTCAGTATTCATAAATTTGTGTTACTATAAATGCTAGCTGATTAGTGGTTCCACGCGACACACTACTATGCAGAAATAGTGAAAGTGAACAAAGACGCAGGTGAAAGTAGTCAAAATCTTTTAATCGGCAACCATATGATATTCTTACAGTTCGGAATAACAGACAAAAATTAACTAATAAATAATAATATATTATAAGCTCATTACAATACTTAATATTATAGTGGCAGGTAAACTTTAAACAATAGGTTTTTAATAAGACCGAATTTAACATTATTCTCTATGAGTTCGAATTTCAATTTTTGACGAATTTCATCAAAAGCACTGAAATAAAAAAATCATATCGTAATGTTAAAATATCCCAACGTTTTCGACTGTAATAGGTATCTTCTATCTAATAACTAATAAGCCTTAATAATGCAACATATTAAGGTTTATCGTAAGTTTTTCTTATAGACATTTAAAAATATTGAAAATAATTAATGAATAGATAAACATGTTTTTGGCTTTAAAATTCAAGTTTTGAATAGACATCTAACATTTAAACAATAAATATCTATTTTAGTTATTTTGTTGACATTCGAAAAATATTAATCGTTGAGATTTACTCCCGAATACTCTTTACCGTTACGTATATTATTATTGAAAAATATTTAGACTACTTTTAAACTATTAATAGTCACGCAGTACCTACTTCAATATTGACTCATTAGTAAATAATAATATATTATAACATTATAAATCAAAATATTATGTTATATTACGCGATGTTTATGACATAAATTAGTTCATCATAAAGAAGGCATTACTAATACAAAAAAAAAAAATATTAAGTATGTTATGTAAAAAAAATATACCTAAATAAAAATAAAAGTTGACACAACGCGAACGTTTAAGTTCAGAATCTTTTTTCGTATGTACATACAATACATTATTAATCATTGAATTCAAATTGAACACATTCGCTAGTAATTGATATCATTGAACTAGGTACTCGATGAGGTACATTTGAAAACAGACGAAGCCTGCAGCATTATAACATTAAATTGATATTACACAATAGATAGTGTTTCGGGGTTTTCAAACTCTTGTAAAAACATTTCAATTTATAAGGAATCTGGATCTAGGCACATGCCTACCTCTGAACGACTTAAGAAGACGTCTTTTGTGCATTATTTCTTTCCCCTCAATAGCCTACGCGCAACATAGTCAAAATGTAATTAACCAAAGTCGTTTTGATTTTCATGATTTTGAGTAATCTTAAAGTAAAATTATTACACACTGCAAACATTTTAGAGAATAATATTTTTGAGGATTCTTGGACTCATAAATTGTTCTTAATTTTGTCTCAAACCAATTTAATGTCCATTTAAATGTACACCGTTTATTTTCTTATTTCTTAAGTCAAGTATAAAGTTAAATAATAATAAAAAAATAAATAAAACCGATGTATCAAATCCTCAAAAATAGTATTCTCTATAATTGTCATAATAAAAACAATTGTACTCCAAAATTTCTCAAAAGTCAGGTTACTCATTATAATTCTATAAGAAATACGATTTTACGTCACTGCGTTATTTTATGTTGCAGAGCGTTGGTTTAAGACTCTAAGAGAAAGAGAGATGAGAGACATAGAGTGTAATCAAATATTTAGCGAGCTGACATCCTCTTAACCTATTATCATGACACATTAACATCACTGCCGTATGTAGTACGTATCTAGTAGGTATGTGCACATTTGCCTACTTATACAAAGAATTTTTTCAGGATTTTAGATTGCTATAGTTTTAAGTGGTACACAGCTAATTGTTAGTAAGCTATTAAACATAAAGATTTGTTTATTTGGTGTGTGTATACTTAGAACTAAAATACTTTCCTCATTTTTTAACACTCAACCCCGAATTTATAAACGAAGGAAATAATTAGGAAGCCAATTATTTATTGTGATCAAGTGATATTTAAAATACATGAATAATTGAACTTTACGGAACTTCCAACTAGACTAGTATTGCATTTGGTACTTACAGGGGAATCTCATCCCCTCTATTTATATCCAATACAATAATACTAAATTCTACATTTTTACATGATAAGTAATTAAAACAAAATTCAATTTTTTATCATAATATTATGCTTTAAGCATGGTTTCACAATAAATTATATTTATAAAGACAAAATTCGCAAGTGTTATAGATACTAAAGAAATAAAAAGTATACATGTTGACGTGAGGATCTCGAAATCTGAGAAGAGGGAGGGAGGAATCTGATTTTTGGAATTTTTGAATATATACTTAAAGATCATATTTTGTATTACTTAAGAAGTGTCCTGTGGTGATACAAATTTTTATTTTTCAAATAGTAACTCTTTTTTTACTGTAATTTATTCAGTGGATAATGTTTAAGAAAATATTGAGGTATTAACTATTTAGTTCAAAATTCAAACTAGAAGTTTTTCACTTCTTATAATTTTATGATGTTAAGGTTAGCATTCCTTGAAAAATAAACTACAAAAATATAAAGTATAATATGTAATATTGGTCATTAGATCTAGTTTTTATTTATTATACCGGTAAAGAACGATTGAGCATAGACTATTTTATGCAACACATATTCACATTGCCTACATTTTGTAATTTATTTTTTGTATTTATTTGTATTTTTTATTAGGTACACAAATGATTATTATGATACCCAACTTTAATGAGCCGCGAGCCCGGTTTTATCGTCAATATTGTTATCGATTAATAATTAATTAGTTCCGGAGCAATAAATATTAGTTATATCTGTAATATATACTAACCGTTATAGATTCGTTTTAAGGTGTAAACATTTAGTACTGGGGAAAAATATAAGATACCCTATCAAGATTAATATTAAATAACAATTTCCTATAGAATTAATTCAGTTTATGTATCGTTCGAACATCCATGTCCTACAGTCGTGTCAAAGAGTGCGTTAAATTTTTTTTAATATTATTTATGACATTTTTAATTCGTAAAATATTTTGAACTATTTAAAATTTGAATTATTTAAATAAATATTTTTTGTGTAGTATAATTCAAAATTTAAAATGGTACCTAACATCGAAGTGTTTTTATGCTCAATCGTGTTGTTTTACTTTTGTACAAATCTGTTCAATCGTGTCTTATAAATGTTTTCTAAACAAGAATTCCATAACTATCTTAAAATTAAAAAAGTATTTTGTATTTTCAACACCAATATTTTGCATAAATTGTACTTTGTATTTGAAATACATGAAGTGATGTATTTATATTTTATTCCATCCTTTTCCATAAGTTTGCTAATATAATAATGCTTAGATATAGTATAATTTACCACCTTATGCCCTTGTTACCTACAACTTATGCGTATTATTATTATTATTTATTTAATATTGTTATAATAGTTAATATAATAAAAACTAATTAAATAATACTTAACAACTATTATAGCAAATTACATAAATAACTAATTAAACACCTACATTAAATTACATATTATATTCACAAAAAATAACAGTATAATAATATTAAAATTGTTTAATTATATACTAACTTGATATTTCTTTCAAGAATTCTTTTTTCGATGTTAGGACAATTCGTTTATAATATTTAGGTTTATATTAAAAATTGAATATGAATATAATTTTATAGATTTAAGTTGAATAATTTTAAAGTATAATTAATTCAATGTTTCAAAAGTCTTTGAATATGAAAATGTGCGTTGTTTATAATTTACTGTAAGTTTAATTTTACAGAAATATTTTAGTTCATTTTTTTGTACAAACTGCTCAATCGTCTACTCTGTGATCACTATATAGTTCATTGGCATTGGTCCAAAAAACCTTTGTATAAATTTAGATTACTTAGACCCGGCATGCTGAACATAAATAAAAAAAAGTATAAACCGGGCATAAGGATTGGTTTTATTCTTGCTATTGTATATAGTATCAACGTATCATACTATTTTATATGACAACATTGATAAATCAATACATTCAAACAAACACTTTAAGAGGGAATCGGTGGATGGTATAAGAAGTTTTTCGAGTTTGGACATCACAGAAAATAAATATCGGCAAAAACATTTAAAATGTAATGCGAGATTCCTCATAAGTTGATATAATATCAGTTGATTTTATTTGTAAGGATGTTAAGTTCAAATTTTGACAATATCTATTAAAACCTCGAAAATGTACAAATTATTTTGTAGTTGACAATGCATAAAATGTTCAATTTTTAGACCTAAAGATTATATAGTTCCTACTGTAACGAAAAAATCTAAAAATATAAATAACACAGTTTTATTTTATAGATATTTTAACTTAAGTTCAAATTTTAACGAAATTAGGTAGGTATTTAAATGAAGTATTGTACCTAATTTAAAAATATTATTCGTGATTCGTTGTTATTTGAAATTTTGTATGTATATTATAGGTATGCAAGTGCAATTTTCTGGCAAAAATAAATTCTCTCTACTGTATTATTAATGTCTAATAGTAAAATAAATTACTTTAATAGGTAACAATATTATTATAGAGACGCATAAAATATACTTTGTAATATTATATAGGCTGGCAGAACGTCTTCGCTCAGAATTGGTTTTCGTATACAATGATTTTATACACTTGAATTCAAATTCAATCCATTTGTTTCAGCCGACCCATTTAGATACTGTTTTGTACAGAAAAATGACTTCCTAGGTTTTTTTACATTTGACCCTCATAATACTAACCAGGACCATATATTATCTTATGAGTTGAAGATTGATATGCATTTTTACTGCTTCAAAATACGATGGAGGAAAAAAAACACATTGTAAAATCGGTAGGTACCTACATTTATCGCTCCGCTCAGAATCTAAAATATAAATTCTGATGTTAAGATTTATTTGTGCCACAAAAATTGACATCGTAAAACGTATATATTCATTATTCAACCATCGAAATAAATTATTCAACTAATAAAAAATAATATTTTGTTATAATAATTAAATAATTTCTAATAACTTCTTCACATATTAGGGTCCAGACTACGTAGTAAACCAACGAGAAACCTGTAATAAAACGCGCGTTTGTAATTAAAATTTCATGTCTTTAATCCCGGAATCTTTAAATTCGATTAAAGAAAATTTCAAAATAATATCGTCGTAATTGAGAAATAGTTTCATTAGGTTTAATAGTAATAGATATGCTGCTCGAGTTAGCTACGTGAGTATTAAAGACTAAACACATATTATCTTTAAATAATATTTTTATTTATTACTTATCTTTCATAGTTCCATTATATTTTAATTTATTTATTACTATATTATTATTGCCAATGAAACAGTTTTAGAAAAAGTTTATAATTTATTGATTTGTATGTATAATAAAAATAGATAGAAAACATCAAACGATTAGGTGCCCGCCAACATTTCTAACGAAATACAACAATTGATTTCCAACTTAAAATTACCTATCTTTTAATTGTGTATGGAGAAAACCATTAATATTCTATTAAACTTTAACGGTGAAGTCATAATTAATAAAATAAGTTCTACGGTAAAAAAACATAGTATAATCAAAATAATCATATAAGTACTGATACGTATCACATTATTACTATACAATTCCAGTTCCGTATTCATTAATATTAATTTCATAATATTATTATAATTCCATCACACAATAATTGTTCCTGTATTTAAATGGATCCGGCGCGTTGTTGTGTAGTCTATACGTACGTTTTCGGGCGCTCTTTTTACTTTTAGGCAGGCGTTTCTGTTTTTTTTTAGTTATAAAAAAATATGTAGAAAAGTTTATTTATACTATTCAACACTTTTATTCTTAACTACCTAGATAAATTAAAAGTTAATTGGCAACAACAACATCATTGTAGGGAATTCAAATGAGACTTTGTATGTCGATATAACTATTAGGTAAGTTATGTTATGTCATCTTCTCATACATGGAGATAAATTTTCTGACCTAAGATGAAGTCTCATAATGTGAATTATGGAACACTCAATATAATTTACGAGTGTACAATATTATTAGCGAGGTGACTGAAATGCTTTATAATAATATTATTTATAACACCAGCACTCGGGGTCAATTCTATTAAGATAAAAATAATATTTAGATCAATTATAATAAAATTACTCTCAATCTAATACTACAAGTCGATTGTACACATTTTGGTGGGACTCTCACAGCCACACAATGTGATCCTGCTATGAGTAGGTACCTATATTAATGAGTTGCATAGTTCAAATAATTTCTCCTAACAATAAACTATTATATTAATTAGTAATTAATTACGATATTCATCCATGATTAAACAGGTGATATAAGTCATTGCTTGCTGATAATAATTAATAACCACAACAATATAAGAGTATATCATCATTTAAAATTCTTTCTAAAAAAACTACGTAACTTAATCTTGCTTTTATATCTTGACATTTTCTGCATAAAATAATCATAAACCATGAGTAGGTAGTTAAAAAGTACCACAGTAATGGTATCTATACCTACTGCTTCACTGTACTCCACTATACTTACTACACTCTACAGCATCAATGTAGCACCAATATTTCGAAGAACGAACTAAATAGTTTAAGACGCTACCCAGAACATAACACAAACGTATTATATATTAGAAACAATATACCTAAATTAACGAAAACTATAGCTATGGAGCACAGACGCCAGCTTAGTATGACTAATCGACATTTATAAATTATAATGCTATTGTATGTACACATGGAAAAGTATAGCAACTGGACAAATCAACACTATTCATTATTGAGTGCTCATTGAAAATAATATACCTACCCACAAGAAAAGTGTAAAGTAAAATGTTTTCCGAATATTATATTATTATTATTATTTTTTTTTAACTATTATTAATAAAAATGTTTTCACTAGTTAAAAAAACTTGAACATTTAGTACAACAATCATTTAGTTGAAACAGAGAGTTATAAATATAGCATTTTATATAAATTTGCAAAGCTGATTTTTGAACAATACTCTTCAGCCGCTTTAAATCCCACATACCTATTATTGTTCAATAATAATACAATATTTAATGATTAACAATTGACTAACAATCAATAATTGATTATCTATTTCTAATTTTAAACCGATTATTTTATATATATTAAAACCTGAAAACATAAGAAAATAAAATTTGACTAATTTATTATTATAACAAAAATTATTATTACGTTGGCCAGAATATGAACTATTAGACACTAGCACACAACTGTTGTACTTATGAAGATCAAAGGACGATGATAAATGAAACTATATAATAAATAAAATAATATAAAGTCTGTTTCTGTTTTTAACAGAAGACCCCTAAAAAAGCGGTCGCCTGTTGCAGCAATTGCCGACAGGTCATCGTTACTCCTTAGTCCGTACGTACCTACTCGTTAGTCGTTATCACCATTTATACATTAATATTACATAAATTAAATATATTCTTCTGAGTGAAAACTATTTTTGTGTTTGCTTTATTAACAACTACTCACACTCATTACGTACAAATGGTATTATACTATTATAAATAATTTAAATTAAAAAATAAAATAATGTTTTTAATTAAATTGTGTTAATATAGCTACCGTTGTTGGTGGGCTTATATAGAAAGAATGACTGGTGTGATAAAATAAAAGTTAGGAGAGCTTAGCCCCCCTCCTAGTTAAGCCTATGGTAATATTACTAAAATAGTAAAATAAATTACTCAATAATATCATTAAAATATACTTAGTAATATCTAGACTGACAGACCATTTTTGCTCAGAATCGTTTTTATATTATTTTTTTATTATTTTATATCATTGAAATCAAATTTAACACATTCATTACGACATCCACACGACACCTAATGCACAACAGAGGCGTAGATCGGAACTATAACTTGCACTCCTTTTTGTACTTTAAATAATTTAGTAGATAATTTTTTGAAAATATGATGTAGGTAACATATTCAAAATTTAATGAAATAGTTTCTCAGTTATTAAATTGCTTATACTTAAGATAATAAATGGTCTTACAAAAATGTAAAATAGTTATAATATTAGATCTAGTATTTATTATTTATACTATATTATACTCTTATACTATTTTCACAAACTAGGAATGTTTATGGATATTCATACCTATTAGCTAATAAAATATTCAAATCATAATAGTCGCCATATGAAAGGCACATAATACTATGGATTTATTGTCCTATATACACAAATAAATTAATCAAAAACTACTAGTTCAAATTTTTATTTATTTCCGTCAACATTTTCAGAAAAGTTATCAATTAAATAATTTACAGTAAAAACAGAGATTCTTGTTTGAAATACAGAAGTTGTATCTGTTTCTTCTTAAAAAGCACAATACATCTCTGAAGTTTGAAAATATTGTCTTATAGACTATAGTAGGTAGGTACTAATGACTATTTAAAAATTCCAAAACTCAATTTTGAATTACCTACTGAATATTAAAGCAAAAAAGGGTTATGCATGCATGATAAATCAATCTGTACATGGAACTCAAATAAAAAATGGTTAACTAATGCAAATACATATGTACTCAAAAGTTAAAATAGTCAAATTTTTTGTTCCTGTATCACTATATAAATTTATATTTGTAACTTTCATAGACGATAAAAATAATTTTGTAATTTTCTTAAAATTTGTGAGGGACGGTACTACAGCTCTCCAGCACCTCTTAGCTATGGCACTGATCTGTGTCGTGTTCGATATTTTAACGGTTAAGGAAACAAAAACGTATTGAGTACCTATTGAGTATTGACATACAACGCTCGAGGGATATCGTGTTTAACCATGCTATTATATACTTGCATAACGAATGTTTACTTACTTACATTTTTCCGGTGATCTTCTCGATATTCATAAATTGGATAAATTCTAAAATTGATCTACCCATCGTAACATAACTGTTATAAATTTGATATCCAATGAAACTAAAATTATTTAAATAAGTTAACGCCCGTATTATAATTCATTATAAATAATAAATTAAATCGTTATTCAACTAACACTACACATGGTTTGGTCAACTTGTAGACTCTAATGTTATGATTTACTAATATATGCCATTATAGAAGTATAATATTAATAAGCCATTATTATTATGCAATTATTATATTAAATGTTTTTTTTTAATTAGATATATATGTACAGTTTATACCTAGTATAATTTTATATTATAGGCGATAATTGATTAAGTACCTACCTACCTACCTACCTACCTACTTATAAGTTATAACTGAAAATAAAAAGGTTCACCTAAGAATTTTTGAAATACAGAGATAACATTTCATTTTAGTAAAAATAGATCTAATTAATATATTTTAATAGCACGTATGTACCTGTCAGATATATAATATATTCATACACTAGGTATTAATAAAATAAAATTAGTAGGTTGAGCAAAAGAAATTTTTAATTTAAGAATGGGGGGAGAGCTACAGGTAGTTGTGGAGTTGTATCTCGTCATTGAGTAAGAATACTGTAATCAGTGTAATCGATGTGTTAAATTTAAATTCTATGATGAATCATTGCATAGGTACGAAAAACGATTCCTAGCGGAGACGGTCTTTCAGCCTATAATACCACTATTTAATAGAAGGTATATTAGATTAGGTATCATATTATCATATATTTATATTGCTATTGACATTATAGTAACAGCTAATATTAGTATTTAGTAATAAGGAATAAATAGACAAAAATAACTATAAATATGCAATAGCCAATAGTTAAAAATATATTCATCTAAATATTTTTTTTAATGTCATTGCACATGTGCAAATACTAAAATATAATAATACCTAGTAAAAATGTCAAGTATTCAAAAATATTTTTAAATCCCGACAAAATAACTAAAATTGTTATTCTTTACTTACACATGTATCCATTTCCGTCAACATTTGAAATACAAATGTCTATAAAAATAATTGTGCTTGCATATATACTACAATAGATTTGGGTTTTAGTATAAGAACTACTATTATGAAAAACCTTATATTACATTTTTAAGCCTGAGCCATAAATTTATTGAACAATTATTGTACACTAGACACGGCGCACTTGTAGCCGACGTTGATATCTATAGTAGTTAGATATCTCTTAATTTTAATATGAAACTAATATCTTTTAAAAAATATGTCTTTCTTAAACGATTTTTTCGATGAGAATAATGTAACATATTATTAGGTATTGTTGTGTTATGATGGCCGATTGTGCCCACTAACATAGTGCTATACATCTATAGTCAAAATATTTTGTTTGGATCAGTACAGGTATAATTGTATAAAATATTAAAATGTATTCATTATATTATATTATAATTGTATCAATTAAATAAACAATTAGATTAAAAGGGGGCGAAATCAAAATCGAGGGTACCTACCTAAGTAAAAGAGCAATAAAAATACATAAATAACTAAAAGAAGATGCTAATAATTAATAATCTTAAACAAATTAAATTAAATTTTCAGCTTGTATTTATGAAACAAGGCAATAATTATGTATTATAATTTATTAGGTAGTTATATGAAAATGTAAGTATTTAACACCATAATAAATCATTATAATTTTAAAACAAATAGAATCAAAACTATTTCAGAATAATTGCATGGTCAGTGAAATTACAAAAAAATAAAAATATTGAATCAGTTATAGAAACAAGTGAACATTCTGATAAAATGATTAATGAAATCAAGAATAATATAAGTGGTTTATATTTTATAGCCTTGTAGATAATTTTAAAGTGAATAAAAATGATTTATAGTATCTCTATGGGTAAATGGTAAGTTATTAATATAATAATAATAATTAATAATGATGTACAAGAAAACAGTTTTACCTACCTGTCTACCTAGTAGTATAGTAGTACTTATAAATTATTGTGATCCAGTGATTGTATAATATTACCAGTATAGGAACATCATGGCCGATTCATGGGTCACCTGCTATCTACAATAATAATTTTGGTTTAATATAATAGTTTATCTTATATTTTCTAATTATTGAATATAATATGTAGATAATATTATTATCATTTATCATTGCAACAAATCTATATTTATATACCCGCATACCCTTAAATTATAAAAGTACCTATATAATTACATACTCACCAATACATACTTAAGGTAAGTCGTAAGTTGTAGTTTGTATATTCGTAGGTACTTACTACTTAATACTTGGTGTCCGAGTGGCCGTGTTGGTGTTCGAATGTCTGTTCCCATGTCGTACTTAGTGTCATTTTTTTTTATACCTACTTTTTTTTGTTTGTAGGAATTTTTCAATTTTTCTTTTAAAATGACAAACACCATACACTATTCATAATACAGAAAGAAGAAAAATAATTTTTGACGATATTAAATTATTAGACCAATAAGTGTGAAATTTCTTTAAGAAATTAACTAATTACTACTGTCGAATAAAAATGAACAAAAATGCTCAAAAATGTATTTACACGACTATAAATCATCAAAACTATTTAGTTCATCCGGTTTCGCTGGTGAATTTACAGACTATTGAACCATAATTGTAAGTTATGACGATTTACAGAAAAAAAAAATTGTGGTATAAGATTATGCAAGGCATCTTATTATGTGGAACTTATTATCTGGACAACTTCGGAAGTTGTGGCGTTCTATTCATCCTAACAATGAAACTATACGAGGAGATTATCTTCAAGAGTTCAAGACCTAAGCCTTAAAGAAACTTTTGATGTATCAATAGAATACTATTTACGACGAGTTTCAAAATGGAACAAGTGAAGCTAGTAAATCATTATAATATATTTCTTTGATCACTATTTATTGTTCTGTAGTATCAGTGTATCACTATGTCCTAATATTAGGTTTACCTATACCAATAGGCAATAATATGTAAAGAGTACCTATGTACTGTCTGCGAAGTAGTGTCGTAGTAGTGTAGCACTATCATGATTCATAATATAATAATGTTTAATAATTTTTGATATCGTGACGATCCAATATCCATGACTCTTCCGCTCGTATCACTCATGAGTAGTACTATTTATTAATATTATGAAAATTAAAATATTAAACTACACTCCCGACAGCACCAAAACAATATCTAATAACTATAGGTACCTTCATCGTATTTGTGTATTATTATTTGAATAGGAATCCACCTACTTGTTCTATGTCATCTACAGCAATTGGCCGCCGTCCACCCTGTATAAACTGTGGTTAGTATGGTTAGTACCTTAGTGGTTAGTTATCATTAGGGCTCGGGACTTATAGAAGCTAAAAAAGAAAAAATATGAGTGTAAAAATGGACGAAAAAATTGTAAAATATGCACGAAAAAATGACAAATATTGAAATATGCAACAAAATGTAATAACAATTCCATATTCCAAAAAAAAAATTGTTTTGTGTTGTTATTCATTTTCACTAAAAGAAATGTAAAATATGGACAAATAAATTCATAGTATTTAAAATATGGAGGAAAACTATTCGCCAGCTTAACATTTTATTTAACTAAACAAAAAGTTTAAAAGATATATTCGAAAAGATAGTAGGTAGTAGGTACCATCAGAATCAGAATGTGGATGAATATAACAAAAAATATCTACATTCAATGATATTGAGTTTTATATTCAATATTATTATTAAAACATACAACTTAAGAAAGAAAAAGAAAATTTTTTTAGAAAATATTAAATATGAATAATATACGTAAAAAAATCAAGAAATATGCACTCTTCCCCTAAAATTTACGAAATATGCAAAATAATATGCATTTTCCTAGAATATACAAAGACAAAGATACCAATTAATGTTTTTAAAAAAGACTTTCGAATTTTACATACCTATTTTATTTTTATTTATAGTTTATTATAAAAATATTTGTTTAATTTATTTGAAAAAAATGTAAACTTAAGGAAAAATTCAACAGGAAAGCAAAATAATGGATTATTTTCTTATTATTAATTATTTTTTTTAATTTGGAATTTCTAACCTTCGTGACATCTAGTAACAAAAAAATTTCGGGACATTGTAATCAAATAATATTATAACATTTATATATATTATAGTAAATATTATACAAACTACAAAGAGGTAGGTTGAAGTGTTGAACTAGAACAACTAGGTTCTCTAAATGTTGTCATTAACTATCTGTTAAATCTTAAATGTTAATAGGTACATTTACTATAAATTATAATATATTTTACACCTAATCTCGTGAGTCGTCAAACACAAGCATTGATAGGTATGTAATATTATAATACTAGCTCTTTGAGGGTAGCGAACATTCTGTAGTAATTATTCAAATGGTGTCCAAATTAATAATTATCATTTGGATTATTATAATAAAAAATAATATTAGAGATGAAGATAATATTATTATTTAATCTACATTGTGCCTCTAATCAGTAATTACCCGCGCATTCATACTATCGCTATGTGCCCGTGTGTGATAATACCTATTTCTTTTCATTTTCTTTTCAGCTTTTCACTTTCAGCTTTTCAGTTTTCACATTCGGCTTTCGTGTTATTTCGGTATTCGGCTAAGTGCGAAGACCGACCACCTGAGCCTCGAGTACGTTGCGTTTATTTGATTAATAAATCATGTCTACGTCTTCTTTTATGTGCAATATATGCAAAAAAGTTTTTGGTTACCATCGTAATTTAATAGCACCTGAAAAAATGTTATTAAATGTCTCAACAGTGAGTATTTTCAATTATTTATCGGTTATGCTTTATTGCGAAAGCATCTTGAAGAGTGCTACTAAATTGGTTTAAATTAAGAATGAATTTACTTTAAAACTCAAAATGTTAGGAATAATAGCATTTAAAATTTATTTTTTAAAATTATCAGTTTACATTATGGTAAGCCACTGCCTGAAATGTAAGTTCAAATGTCTACACCAGTAGTGTATCTAGGATTTTTCCATGGGGGGATATAAACATTTTAATTGACATGTTCAATATACGGATAATAAAATATATCATCATATACATCTTGTACTGTGTACAAATTTGGTCTCCAACGGGGGGTAAGACTACGATATCTCTCCTCCCTCTCTATAGATACACCACTGATCTACACAGTCTGAATTCTAGCCTTTGGTTTTAGTTTCCAATCAACTTCTAGATTGTGCTTTCTCTCTTGCGCAGTCTATTTATTAATACCTCCACGATTTTGGTATAGCTTTGTTTTGGACATTGGTAAGTATATTACTTTAATTATTAGAAGCTATATTAAACAATGAATCTTTTAAATAAAAGTTCCTTTTTCATAATATTAATCATGGTTGTTGCAAATTTTACATTATACTAATATGTAGGTATACTGAAAGCCATTATTTAATTAAGCTGTTGTTTAATTATCTACTTAGAATGTACATTGTCTAGGATACATAGACAGGTAATCATAGGGCTCCGTGTAGTCTAATTAATAAGCTAGGTAGTCAGGTAGATATATAATATGCGCTTACTTGTTTAATATTATAATACAATTTAAAAACGGGTATATTATATTTTTACCATAAATATGTATGTATGTTATTTAATTGATAAGTAGGTGAATGTATTAATACATGGTTTACAATTATTGAGAAAATATACTAGCAGAAAATCTATGAACGATAATTGATACTTAATAAAGTATTAATAATATAAGCATTAAGTATTACTTATTTTCAAATTGCTTGGTTACTAATGTGTAATGATATTAAGTTTCTTTTGGAAGATAATATGATTAAATAATTATTTAAAATATACATATTAAATTGAAAATTAACTATAGCTTTGATTATCCAAATCTTAAAATACTGAAATACAAAAAATTAAATCTTATAAACTAAAAACAATTAAAATTTTAAATTTTAAATAAAAGTGACTACTATATTTAATACTTAATTGCTAGATTGATTAATATGTAAATATTAATATGTCATTACTCATTAGTATTAACCTTCAGTAGGTAAATAATTTATTACTCCACTAATTATAGTCTAATATTATTTCGGGTGGTATAAGATAGATGGGAATTTATTTAGCTTCTTTTTATGGCATTAAAATAAATACAAATATGGAACATAATTTTTAAATTAGTTAAAAATCATATATTATTTATTTGTCTAATGATCAAAAAAATAAAACAAATGTAAAATTAAAAGTATTAATTACATTTTGTATTATTTTTTTGCTATACACAATAAAAATTATATTTAAAATAAATAAATGCTAAATAAGTTTATTATGTTTAATCAAGAAAAATTGTTATGCCGCTCGACAGACTAGGTAGTCTTAACCTGGTCTACCTATTGAAGGTTAAAGACGTGTAAATGTGCAATAATATATTTGTTTCAACTCCTGCTGCTGGAAGATCTTTAAAACTTCATACAGTGTTATTATCTGAAAATAAAATAAAATAAGTTACTAAGTTAAAGTGTTAGCATAAAACCTAATTATTCATTAAATATTTCCTTTATTGCAATTGACTTGTTTTTGTACAGATTTCAAGGAATAGAAACAGAGAAATTGAAAAAGAAAGTGTTTGGTCATATGTTTTAAAATCAACTGCGGTCGTATTAAAAATGAAAAAAGAACTTAATATCATCGTCATTGAAGTGGTTTCTTTAATAGTAAATCATGAGGGGTAAAGTTCATTACAAGCCAAGGAAGTAATAAGATAGGTTCAACATGCAAGTCTTCAATGGTAAATACTAAATATGATTGTACCTATACTTAAAAATAGATATTTAGATCTCTATAAACTAATAAAGTATTGTGTAACTATTTAGGTGTTGACAGAAGCTCATGGAATTAATGTTGATTATAGTATCACCTATTTAAGGCATGAGTCTAATATTTAGGTAGATGTTTCCACGCTGCTGAATACATGTAATTTCAGTTCCACTCAAAATGTGCATGTGGAAAAATCTACTGTTGTGATAGCTGTAAATGATACATGTTGTGTAAGAGCCCCAGTATTAAATGAAAATTCCCCAGTGTAAGTAATTTTATTGATTTTTATATATGCATTGTGTTTTAATAACATTTTATTATTTGAATGATAAATATTGACAAAATATTTTTAATTTAATTTTGGTTGCTACTAACGAGATTGATTGCGAGCAATTTCCAATATTGTCTGAAGAATTGTTTAAGTTAAATGTTTTTTGTTGCTAAATATATGTAATCTCAGTTCCACTCAAAATGTGCTTGTAAAAAATCTACTATTGTAGAAGCTTTTAAGGCTGTTGAAAGTGAACCATTTTTGAGAGGTTGGATTTAGGCAATATCCTATATCCTTCGTGAGTGATGTGTGGCTGAGCGTATAGTGACTGATTATTAGTGTGTGTGAGTTCTTCGAACTAGCTAAAGATAAACCATGGCTACGATTCTTAGAAATCCGTTATGTATGTATGCTCAATCACACATTGCCATATTTTGTGATCAAAAAAATTCAACACGTAAGTCCCAAAAAGCGATAGAAGAGTTCACCCTGCACTGTACCAAAAGCTTGATTTTAATTTCGGAAATATATTTGAAATTCTTATCTTCTTTTCTAGGCTATGCTGGAAATAGATTTTTGATTTGTTGTATTTAATAAGTTAACATCAAATTAATTTTCTTTTTTTTTTTCAAAATTCACTTTTACTTGAGTGTTTCTAAAAAAAAAAATACATTTCTTACAAAACACAGACAAGAAACGAAGAAATTCAAATATTTTTCAACATTAAAGTTATACTTCTAGAAGTAATTTTTTTTTCGTTTATTGAGTTTATTGCACAAAAAAAAAAAACTTTCAACAGCCTCAAATGATACATGTTGTAAAGTAGGGTAATTTAGATGCAAATTCACCAGTTCAAGTAATTTTATTTGTGTTTTAATTAATGACATTCTATTATTTGTATGAATCATTTAAATTGTGTAGTATCTGTGGTTTTGTAGTGTATTTCATTAAATACATTGTTATATAAGATTTTAACCATTATTGTTTTAATTTTACTCACTAACCTCTATGCTCACTGTAACATTAATAATTTGTATAAAAATATTATTGTTGTTCACATTTCAGGATTGTTGTTTGTGACATTTTTCCATGATTCAACTCTCAGTGAGCAAGTTTGAACTAGCAAGATCAGTCTGATTGACCAGATAGGTTATTTTAAATCTTGTTAAATCTATTATGTGAAAAAAATATGTATCTGAACATTGAAATGGTTAATATGTGTAAGATTACTATAGGTATTCTGAAAACTTGGGTAAAATACTTTTAAAAAGTATTTAGAATAAATATGCAAATAACATTACAAAATAGTATTTAGAATATGTTACCTATGTAAATATGTATTATTATTATTATGATTCAACTAAATAATATGATGTTAAAAAGTCAAAAATATAATTGTATTTAACTTATTTAAAGCTGGCAATACATAATGAATAATGATAAAATAAATTATGAATAATATTAATTATTACAGTATAGGTATATTATTAAATGTTAAGTGTTTGTTCGCAAGAGGATTTTTCACTATGACGATGCTTAAATTCATGTAGTTATTTACCATACAAGTAGTCTAGTGATTATTTTTTTTTTTATTGATCAATTATCTTTTCAACAACAAAGTTGATAAACAATTGGCGTGATGTGTGCTCACATTAAAAAAATATATTTATTGCAAAATAAGTTTTTATATATCTAATTTTTAAAAAAAATTATTACTTAAGTTTTCATTTCTGTTTGTGGTCCTAGGTTTTTGTTATTTTTATTGAAGCTGATAATTGCATTTATAAAAAATATTATTTTTTATAGGTACAGTATACCTGGTACATATGATTATCTATAACACCAAAACATTTATTACTAAAACACTGGGAAGCCGAGAAAAATATGTTTAATGTAGGTAACAGTTTAAATTAGAAAGCTTCTAAAACAATATTTTACTATTAATGCCAAGCGCAAACAGCAATGTCAGAATTTTAATAAAACCAAGAAGACTTAAACCAGGTACTGAATTGTGTATTATAGTATTTGTATAGTACTTATATCAAGTTAGTCGGTGATTAAAATATTCATACTTTTGTAGACATTCTACAAATGAAATGAAGATCAATTACAATAGTCCTAATGATAATTATTTATTATTTTAATATTAAATATTATTAAATTTTTTCTGGAGGTACCCACGGTAACGTCAAGTTAGTATTATTCCGGACTCCGTGTAGGACATCCGCTTTAAGTTATAGAGGTTAATTGTTCGGATCAACCGAGAAAGCGGAAAGCCGAAAAAAGAATTACAGTTATTAATCATAAGCGACATAAAATAATCTGTAGATTAATACAAATATACAATTATTAATTATCACGAATCATATTACAGTTTGTAGTGAACGGCATAACATTTTAAAATTCGTGTAAATTACATTGATGTTGTGAACCGTAAACACCATAGATAATAATTTTCTTTTATTATCTATGGTAAGCACTGTTGGCGCCGTGGAGGTAAACGTTACTGTGGTTAAAGGTGGTTACCGCAATTTTGCTGTTGTTTATAGTGATAACGTCGGCGGCCATTTAGCAGTTTCATTTGAAATTTTACATTCGGTCTAGCTGCTTGTTGACACTGCATATTCAGACGCCAGACGTGTTCGGTTTTTTATTTTCTTATTATTTGGCGTCCGTAACTGACTAGTGTTGTTTACTCGTGTGCACGGAGAACGATTTTAATTAAGTAAACCACCGACGTCAATCTTTTGCGATATTAATTTCGTTCGATTGATTTGTTTGTTTACGTCGTTGTTTTGTTGCGTTATTATCTCGACGCGTACCGTTTTTCTCGAAACATCGTCAACAAACAACGGGATTGGTTTTTAAAGATGGCGAACGATAGGGTAACATCGAACTCGAGGTTTCAAGAACCGTCTCACATGCCAATCGAAACGCTACTATTCAATGATATTATTGAAGAGAAGAGTACACAGTTGCGTGAAATTATGGATCAATTTTTGCAAGTACATTCTTTCAGTAAATTTGAAACTGAATTCAGTTTATTCATAAGGCGCATAAAACACATTACAAAAGATGGACAGCGCAATGGCACAAACCTCACACGTCACACAATGCAATTTCCTTCAGATAATGAGGCACAACCGTCGAGTAAACCAACGGAAGATGCCGGGTCGCAGGAACATGCTGAACCTGCTAATGTATTTAAACGACCATCAGTCCCTGAATATAAGCCCAGAACAACGTTGACGCTTAACAACCAACCGAACAATATTCTTAATAAAACAATGAACTTATGTGACACAATTATTGAAGAAAGTTTAACCAATGATGACACTCAAAAAGATATTCAACTTCCGGAATGTCTACCACCAACTGCGCCAATACCATCTTCTGGGTCATCGCAAAGTGATAATGCATCATCTACCATCTTCAATAATGAAAACGATGACGACACCATGGAATCTAATTCCGATTTAGTTGAGTCTGTTCAGATATCAAATAATAGTGACAATACCAGCACTTCTCAACTTAGTCAAGATCAGTCTAATTGTTCAGCAAGACGTCTGGGAAATAGTAAAGTGAAGTATCTAACCAAGTGGTCAGTAAATACCAAGCCAATTAAATCTAACAAAGGCAATTCAAAACCAGTCATTACATTAACAGGTAATTGAGTACATTTATTTTTAGTGTTTTTACCTATATTGATATAATATACCTGAGTGTGACTTGATGTATATTAGAGGTTTTAGGGATAGAATATATGTATGAACAGGTACACAAAAACAATTTGTTCTAGCCATACAAAAATTAAATAATTGAGTGGATAAATTTCTACGGACCATTTATTATTTATAGACTTATAATAATCATAAAAGTTATTAACAATAAGATTTTGAATTAGATATTAAGCATGTAACAATAATAAGGGATAATACATAGGTAGGGGAAAGTGTTGTACTTTAGTCCAATATTTATTTGTTATTTAAGAGAATGCTACACATGCATTTATTATCTTTGTCTTACATGAATGTTACATGGCAAATTTAAGCTCAACGGATCATATTTAGCTTCGTTAGTTTAAAAATTAAAGTAAATTGACTTATTATGAAACTATTGGTAAGAAAATTATAATTTGTGTTTGTATGTGGTTTTTTTACGACAGGTTATTCAGTTTTAAGGGGTTTTAAGTAAGTTATGAATACTTTGAATTTGTGCTTTACTATAAATATATGTAAAATTTGCTAAAAAAATTGAACTATCGTTAAAAAACCATGTATAAACAAATTCTTACAATTTTTCACGATGGTCGATTCACTCTAAGTGTAAATTTGCTATGTTGTGAGGTTGTAAGGCAGATACTACAAAATATGTAGTGTCTTCTTTATAATTGGTAAAAATTAACTCTTAGATGAAATTTGGTATAGTGATTAGTTCCACGATATTGAAATATATTGATAGTTGGTACAATAAAATCACATATGAATTTATAATAAAAAAATATCAATATTACAATTTTAATTCTTTTTAAATTTTATGTTTTACAACAATTACACACATTTTTCTAGGCTACCTACCTATGTTAATATATTCATCTTTTGCGCAAGTAGATTTATCAATTATCAGTTTATTACAAATTAAAAAGTAAAGGTACATAGCCAGGAAAATATAACAAAAATATTCACTTTAATTCACTGTTATATTTTTTGATTTAGATAAAATTTATATTCAATACAAAATTTTGAAATATTAAAAAAAAAATTTTATTATTAATAAGTATTTATTCCTAAAATATTTAATAAAAGTATAATCATTTAAGAGAAAGTCAGTGCATTATTTGTTTTCTCTCTAACCTATGCTTAACATACCAAATTTATGTTCAACATAACCAACCCTATGTAGTAACTTTTAGTACAGTCAAACTTCTTTAACTCAAAATTTCTCGAAATCATCGATACCTCAAACTTTTACTCTGGTCCCTAGAATTTCTTATTTAAACAATGTAAAAAAATCTTGTTTAACTCAAAGTTTTGAGTTTTATTAATACATATGTATTTGTATAACATTTCCCTCATTTATCTATAAAGGTCATTAATTCATTAGTCATTAATTCGAAGCTTTGAATAAAATAGAACGATTCACTACAAACGCTGCAATCAACAGCAAAACTCAAACAAAAATAAATACCTTTTTTAATTAATTTTTTAACCTCATTTTTGTTTAAATATACATACATTACCTGCCTTTTTAAAATTACATATACATACATACATATAAATACATAGTAACTAATTTTTATTGCACATTACATATTTTATTTAATTTATAATAAACACAGGCATTAATATACAGTACTGTTTTAAACATTTTTTTTGGATAACTCGTACTTTTACTCCGGTCCTTTCAACTTCGAGTTTACCAAGTTCGACTGTATTAGATTAAATTCACCTATTATCAAATTTTAAGTTAAGAACATTACGTATGTCACTAAGTTAGCTATTTTATGATATATTATTTTTTATGTAAGTTATGTGTGTACATTTTAACAATTTAAAAATGCTTAAAATTGCATTGGTATAAATTAAAATATTGTGAATAAACCCCAAGGCATACAGATAATGTTCTGAACCTATAAGTTTGGTAATAACTAATAGATAATAATAATAATGAACTTTATTGCAACAACATAAATAATACAAAGAAATATAAGTAAAATACCAAAGTATACATATTGCAACACCTCATAAAAGCAAAGCTTATGCTGTGGGAGCGAGTTCTTGTCACCTTAAGAATAAAAACCTAAAAACAATCTGTTATTTATACCCCTATTTATACTAATACTTTACATTGTACAACAACTTTATATAATAATCTTATTCTATTATCTTTGACAGATCCATGTACTTAAAATAATTTTTTAATGTCTTTAAATTATCAAACTGATTAATATTAATATTTATCATGCAACATAAATTAAGACTAAGTATACAAAAAACTTGTTGACACTTCGGTAAACATATGTAAATGTTTTACTTATATCTAGTATTATGTTCATGCTCTGATACAGGTATTAAATGTTTATGTTTATGCAATTCCAATAATACAGATTTGTTATAAATAATTTTAAAATTCTTTACATTAAGTTTTTCATAAATTAAAAATAGTACCTATTAGTTTGCATAGGAAGATTAAGTAAATTTTAATAACACCATTTATTGCAACATTGAGATAAAATATTATTAAAAGTTCCTCCCCAAATTGATTACCATATGAGAAAAAAGATTGCACTAAGGCAAATAACTAATAAACCCGCAAATAACTAATAAATAACTCTTTTGTAATTAACATCTAATGTATACCTGGCTTCATAAATTTACAAAAAAATTTTTCGTAAAAGATCATTAATATAATTTATCATAAGTTATGTGTGTAAATTATTACAATTTAAAAATACTTTAAATTGCATAGGACCAAATTAAAATATTATAAATAAACCCCAAAACATAAAAATAATGTTCTGAACTTAAAGTTTGGTAATACATAAATTCACTATATTATTTAAAGTAACAATCGTAGGGTTGGTTCTGCTAAACATACATTTTCTATGTTTGCTCTGAGTGGATCAGAGAAAAAAAATGATTGTGTTCATAGAGTTAATTGACAATTATTAACCAATTCATATAATATTGTATTATAATAAATGGGTAATAATCTAATAACCAGGGCTCGGGACTTATAGCACTTAATAGTCATTCAAATAAGCGCTTAAAAAAGTGTTAAAAACCATCATTTATAAGCATTAAATAAACTTAAATTTAAGCAAAATAATTGAAAAAAAATCAATGAATTAAATATGCTACTAAATAAGATAAGAATTATTTTTAATTTTAATTCTATAAAAAACAACTGCAGGAAAAAACCATAAAAAAAACTAGCAAAACTGATCAAAAAAGCAAAAATAATAATAAAAACTGGAAATAAGCATTTTTTTTTTTAAATCGCTGAAAAAAGCAAAAAAAAGCATTTTCAAATTTCATTATTGAATGTGTTGAACATGACATACACTTCCATAGCGAACTGCTACATTTTAAGTCAATCCATAAAAATAAGCAAATGCTTTAAGTCCCAAACCCTGGTAATAACTGATAATAATCCCATAGTTAATGTCCTATTCCTATAAAGTAATTTTGATGCGGCAATACAGCTTCCACAATCCAAAAATGTCTAAACTTTACCCAATTCTCAAGATATATTTTATCTCACATTTTTGTTAATTTCTGTAATTTCAAGACTGTGTAACAAAATTAAAGAAATAAAATTGTCTGTAATATTTTTAATTTTACTTTATTATTTGCTTTATCATCTCAATCTTAAATAGTGTTTGTATATTTTTTTAGTGTATTAATTATATTTATATTTTTGTATTTCTAGGTACTTTATTAGCAGGAGATCAAACCACAATATTGAAGAAAGTTCATAGAGCTGGTATTTTGGTAGCTCGAAAAACAAAACATATTGTCAAAACAGATAATGGATTATACCGTCTAATTGGTCCAATTACTGAAGGATCTCCAGTTAATTTGTATCGTGCATGTGTAGAAGTAAATGGTATTCCAAAGACCTGGAGAAATATTTTAAAAAATTTGTCTATGGAAGTTGAAGTAAATCTCAATGAGAGTATGACTAGAAAAGGCACAATCTATAACAAGGAAAAAGTGGCTGGTCATAACTCTTCTGAAACAGAAGCCCTGGTTGGATGTGATTTACTCAATGACAATGATTTTCGTCAACAACTGGCAGAAATATCAACATCTAGAAAAATAAAACCATTTGAAGTCTGTCATACTCCAAGTCAACTTTTGAAGCATAAATTTCACCGAAAGTTTGTTAAAGCTTGCTTAATCGTCAGCAGTCAATGCAATACTGGTAAATATTTATTTATTAATTAATCTTGTAAAAGCTTATTCGGTATTGGAAAACAATCATTTACTTAGAATGTTAGGATTAATGTTTATTTTTTATTTGAATTAAAGTGATCTGCATACATACTTTATACATATATATTATAATATGCAATATTTAATAGATTTTTATCAGATAATGAATGTTTCATAATAGTTTCAACCAATAAAACATATTGCTTTCAAAATAAGGACAATTTAAAAAAACTTATTTACATTAATCGAACAATTATTTATGTACTACTCATTATAAAATTCAAAAAAAATTTTCATGTTTTGTCCTTATGAAATGTTAGGTATCATTTTTTTTTTATCAACATTGTATTGATAATTAAAGTAATTAATTAATTAATAGATATTTTTTGTGCAACCAACTGAGGTCTAAACAATAAAAAAATTTCTTTTCAGGATATTAATCTAATTCTATAATCCTTCACAGAATTTCATTTTTAATATCAAAATAAATCATATTACCTATTATTTACTATTGTAGTTTTCAGCAAATGTGGCCCTCGACAGTAGCTCAACTAGTGACGCTATTTCAGAAAAACACTGGTTATCCACATTGGCAGGTGGAGAGCTGGTTATTAATTTAAATTTGCCGCGCTTTGTTCGGCACATGTTAAGTAGCCACTGCGTAAAAACATCCACCAGTCGAGGGTCACTTTTACTGAAAATTACTATAGTTTCTTTCAATGTTAAATGAATGTACTACAACAATAATTAATAATTTTGAATGATTTATTTACAGATGAGAAGATGGATGAATAGTTTCAACAGCATGAAAATAACTAAGAAATCAAAACTACAAAAACTAACGGTGCATATACTAAATTTTTTTTTAAAATTGGACAATTGAAAGATTTACATTATATTAAGTTAACTTTTAAGTTGACTCCAAAAGCATTGTGTCCTCATATTATATTTCTGTTAACTAATTTTATTTTTGTTTTTTCTTAAAACAATATTATTATACTATATTTGTATTCCTATTAGTTTCATAATTAATAATTAATGATTTTGTTATGTTTAAATAGTGTTGATAAAACTATTGTTAAACAACTACGCAATATTTGAAAACATAAAGTTTTTTTTTATGTGAATTGATTCATGAATCAATTTTTTTGTATAAGCCTGCATAAAGGTATTTAAAAATTATCTTGACTCAACATTTTATGTACTAAAATTATTTTGTATTTTTTAGGATTATTTTTATGATTTTCAACTTATTTTAAAATGTTTTTTTGTGATTTATTCAACTACATTTAATTATAAGTAACTATGGCATTTAAGCCTATTTTTTATTGAATTATCATTATCAGCATATTTTAACTGCTGCTTTTCTCATGTTTTTATTGTATTTTTCTATTGAATAAAGAAAAATTTATTTAATTAAAATTAAATGAAAACTTGTTAATATTATTTTTTACGATAAGAAACTTTGATGTAATAACTTCAATGATAAAAAAACCAAAAATGACTCACCAAAATAAAAAGTTAAAAACTATTAATTCATTTACAATTAATAAACATTATTTATTATTATCTAGAATATTATAATCAGTGATAACTTAAATTGTTTTGTTATTTGATGGTATTTAACAGCTAAAGCAGTTAGAATTAATTAAGCGGTGATAAACAATTCAATCAAATCTTGTTAATCAAGAATATATGCATAATATTTGTGTGAGCAAGCACATGTATACACAAAAAACTGAAACATGAAATTTGGATATTTATAATTCATACTTACTTTGTCATCGCTGCTGTAAATATTTAATATACCTGCATCACCAAAATACAATTCAATTTTTAGAAATATTATCGATCGACGAACATTGTTAGACTGACATGGAATGGAGGCTGTGGTAGGTCTGATTTGGATACACAAACTCTAAATAATACATCCAGAATATTGTATATATTATTTGTTAGTCAATAAAATTAAAAGAAAATCACTAGGAAATTCATTATATTTTGAAGTATTATCATGAGTATTGTAGATTATTACTCATGATAACGGTACATCCTGATATCTATTAGCTATAGCCGCTTTAGGTACCTATATGATAGTTCTTAGAGTATTACAAGTTTCCAACTAAATATTTCACGATAAAATAACTCTGGGTATTTTGTGTTTCTATAATTCTAGGAATAAGCAGTAATTCCACGAGATTAGAATCAGAAGGTGCATATTAATTATCTAATAAATTATGCTTGTTGTCTTTTGTAGACTTCACTTTAGACATCTATAATTTTATCTAATTAAATATAATTAAAAATTAAGTGTCGAAACTAATAATAATTTAATAAAACAAAAAAAAACTATTTGTTAATTATTTATCATAAATAAAAAATGCCAAATTTTACCTACCCATAATTTCCTAATACATAATACATAATTATTTGTTAAAGGTTCCTGAAAACAAGTCAATATTTTACGCACCAATTAATTGAAGAATATTAATTTATGCTCATCCCTACCGATCGGGTACAGACATACAGTTATGGTGAAAAAAGAGAAAAGTATGGGGCCCACTTTGGGTTTGCCAGGCTGTCACTGGCTGTGATCTCGATGCCTACCAGTGTTTCCAAAAAGAATTGAGTATGACACCACTAGTTGATGATAATATTTCCCAAAGAAGCCAATATTAAAATAATCATATAACCAAAAAAAAATACAAGTCTAATAAAAACGTTGCATATAAAAAAATAACCTTATGCATTCTTAGCAATGCTTTCAAAGCGACTGTTAATTTTATTATTTCGTTTTCTGAGATTTAATTAGAATTTACACTTGAATTTGTTCAATATATTCTCGAATTCCTGATAGAATAATATAAATTAATGATTACTAGTATTAAATTACTATTTACAGAATTAAATGTACGTAGGATCGTAGTATGTTTTAAGGAGTAATATTTAGGCAATTTATTTGACATGTACATTTGGGATTTGGGCTGTGTCAATGTATGAATAGTAAATTAACATTGTGTGTAATCCGTAATCACACTTAATTCTCACATACACGTCGTGGAAAATATAAACTTCTATAGGTGAGTGTTAGTAAATTAAATATACATCCCGAAGTTCTATTGTAATTTTAAAAATAATGGTTGAAAAGTTTTTAAACCAGGCTATTGAGGATCACTTTTCATATTCAAAATCTGATGAGCCCAAAAATAAATACCAACAAATGTAATGCTAATAATAACTTATTTCACTAAATTTAAATAATATAATCTCAATTCAAACAAAATAAGAACTAACATTACGGGTATCTATTTATTTCTAAATTAACTGTCAGATATTTATTTTATTCAAAGGCTGTCTCAGTGCTGTCTTGCATAGCACTCGACGTTAAACACGACGGTTGGCGATCGTCATCAGTCAACTCCAAACACCACAGTTGGCTGTCGTCGTTTAGTCGTCTGCGAACACGATAGTTGGACTTCTTCGCCACTGTACCAGTGTAATCCGGCCTGAACGTGGGACGGTCGAGTGTCAAATTTCCGGACCTAGAACGCATTGACGACCAATTAGTACAGTGTTTGCTGTCATCGTTAACCCATTTAATATGCCCCTGGATATGTGTAAGTGGTTGGGTATGAAAAAAATAGTAAACTCATACTTAAAAATATAAAAATATAATCTAAAAATCAATATTCTATTCTTGACTGATGTGTTAGAGGCATGTGCAGTAATTCACAGAGGCATGGTGATGAATGTCAGAGAAAATAAAATCATAATGATACGTATGATAGTATCAAATATATACAATCCTGGCTCCGGCAATACAGTTTTTATGATTATTTAAACAAAATAGAAACTTACATCACAGCAAGGTATCTATTTATTTTTAAATTAATTATGAATTTTGTTTCCGATAACTGATTTTGATAGCGTTGACCAGAACTCACCTTACGCAAACGGTTGAACTATTATATGTCTAAGCTTCTGTGATTGTGTAAGGACTATGGTAGTGTTTACCACTCAGACAGTCGAAAAAAAAAATTGAATTATGTTTATTTCCAATTGCCAAAATTCATTAGAAATCATCGTCGTGTTTGCTCTCGTATTGTTTTATAAGTTCAGCCAAACGACGACTTCTCAACTCGTCCGTTGACTGTTCTGAAGCTGTCTTCACTCTGTCTTGTACAACATTTGACGTAGAACGATGGTGATCGACGTCGTTCAACTCGGAACACGACGGTTGGGAGTCGTCGTTGGTCGACTGTGAACACGATAGTTGAACGTCCTCGGCGACGGTGTTGCGTTTTGTTGACGACAACAAACACGGTATCAATTGGTCGTCACCGCGTCCAAGGTCCGGAAAACTGGCAACTTGCTCGTCGCTTGATCGGGATAGATTACACTGATACAGTATCAGTGACGTAGAAGACGTCTCGTCTATCGCCTCACTGCCAAAACCAGCCTGGCACTGTTCTTGCTGCAATGGCACAGCTTCCGTTCGCTCGGACAGCTCTTTCTCCAAATCGTATATCTTCGAATGCAGTGCAGCATGCACAATTGCACTTTTTCCCAGCTGGGCCTGCAGCCGGGCGTTGTCTGCACGCATCACTTCGTCGAGCTCGTCCTGTGCAGATTCGCGGTGCATCAACTTAACCGATATCTCGGCCTCAACTGACTGCAATCGGACCATGTCCTGTTGAACCTCGGCCAGCTCGGCCGTCAACTGGTCCAGTGTCGTTCGTAGTTCCAGCTCGTCTCGGTCTCGCTTAATCCGTTCTGTTTCCGCCAGCACTGTAAGTTCGTCCACGCACCGCCTAAGGCACGACTGCGTTTCCACTGACCTGGCCAGCTCGTCGTTGATATTGTCCAATTCTATTGTCGACGTCTCGACCTGTTCCTTGTATGCGGCAACTTCATCTATCAATGTTTTGGAGCACACCTTCATCATAATAATATTAATATTTAAAGTAAAGACTTTAATGCACCAAAAAGTTAACATAAACAATTTGCATTTGTGCATCCAAACATTTTAAAAATGAACTAAATTGAACTAGAACTAAATAATTATCGAACAATCACTATACTTCATAAATATCTATCTACTATCTCCAACATTGGACAAACATATCGAAAATATGTAAGACATAAATAATTGGCAAACTTTGTGTTGCACTATATTGTAATCTAAACTATCTAACTATCTACAGACTGTCTATCGTCTTCATAACAAATTTACAATTTTACTAAATAATTGTTGACCTTGATTTATGATAAATACTTACCAAAGTCTTTAGTTTTAGACAAATATTCAAAATATGCCTTTAAAGTTAATAATAATATGACGTTTTAACCCAAAACGTCGAAATATTCAAAATAAACAGTAAAGTGTGTTTAAGTATTTTATCACACACGTAGCGAATTTGTGTTTGCACTTATACCTACTAAGCACACAATAAAATTAACCATAACAAATATGCAAATTCGTGAAAGGCAAGAACAAGAAGCTCTATTTATAATTATATCATATTATATTATGCCTACGACTTTATGCGGTACTATAATAGTGCACGACGAGATAATATTTTATTTGCACAGGACAGTTTTACAGTGTTCAAAACTGTTTGCCCCCATACAGAAAAAAACCAATGACGATATCGAGTTTTTGAAAAACACGAAAAACATACAATATACACGCAGATCATATATGACACCAATGTACGTGCTCGTCACTCTGGATAGATTAAGCTTTAATTTCGTATTTACAGAAATGTTCTGGACAATAATCATAAATGAAATGTGGAAAATAATGATCTGACACAGGCCACAGCCTATATTATGGTATAATATAGTCTACTGTATTTCGTAGACTCGGTTATTTCGTTTAAATTTACTTCCAAGTATGTAGCTATCGGATCGGTATCGGTATCGTTATCTTCATCGCGATCTCCATCTTTGCCGTCTTTGCAATCGTCATTATTTACGGAGTTGACCGAAGATTTGTCGACACCACTACTGGTCAATTCTTTTATCTTGTCCATCAGACATTGTGATGTAAACTTGTAACGAGAGTTTTCCGTGCGGGTTCGTTCCAATTCCTCTTCGTACACCTTGCATTTTGTCATCATCCGATCGTAATATACCACCATCTGATCGTGCAGAACCTTTAGCTTTTTTATTTTCTGTTCGGCCCATTTTCGGAGCTCTAACAGCTCGGTGTTCAACTGTTGCTGTTCTTCAGAGGAAGCTTCGTCTTGATTCGTATTTGAACACATTATCTTGACCTGTAAAAATGCCTCTTTAACTATCATTTTTTATTTTTATTTTTAAACGAGTCTACAAACTCAACGTACATGTGCATTTAATATGTGATTGACATTTTTTTTTTAAACTGTGTAGGACAAAGTTAAATATATTTTATCCTGATTGTGTACCTGTAAATACTATCTATATTATAAATTTGTTTCTATGCATTTTGATAAAAACGTTGTACTCGGTAAGTTTGAAAATGTATTATACGGTTCTAAAGCAACCTACAATCTCATATATATATATATATATATATATGTACGTATGCATATTTTTAGAGACATTTAAAGTTAGATTTTAACAAAATAGAATGTCTGAATGAAAAATTATGATTTTAAGGCACACACTACACCTACGATACAGTATAGGTAGTAACTTCCCAGGGTTTATGTTGTATTTATAAATTGTAACATTGTAACATACAATAACTATGAAGATAAAAAAAGTGTAGAAATGGTTTACTTAGTTCTTACCTCAGGTTGAGTCATGTTAATTCAGCAAGTATAAGTACGCAGACACGCAGTAATAAAATCCACCACGATGTTGACTTTTGCGTCCAGAAATCTTTAAAAAAATTATTTTTCGTAAATCAATCACCAATATAAACTTAAAATCAGAATAAACGAATTTTAAGATAATATTATTTTGACGAAAATCTCGCCATTCGTTATATTAAAATAGTTGCCAAGTTCAACATATTATTCACACATTATAATTAACATTATGTAACTATGGAATTGGAATCTACTGATATTATTAAACATAAGATAATCTAGAAATATAGGTGCGAGGTAGGTAGGTACCACACTACCACGATGATGGTCGATGGAAGATATTCAGGGTGGACAGCATCGTCATATAAACAGATTTAGGAACAAATGCAATTTAGTTCCCCCTGGCCATTTTAATTTATTAAATTAATCGCTCGAACTAAGTTTTGAAGTTATTGCGAAAAGATTGAGTAGATACTCGCACACAAAATCGAATGGCACTATTTTTACATACCTAAATATTCGTGGAATATTTTTTCTGTTCAACATGGTAACATTTAAATTTGTGTAAATTTAAAATTATTTAAGTATGTGATAAATACTTTCAAAATTACAACAGGATTTATTATGATGAGTGATGGCTAATTGTGTAATGCAGATGAGGTTCGCAACTGTAGATCGCAATTATATTTTTGGTGGGTTTCATTATATTTTTAAGTAATACATTTTTTTAACCATCTATTACTTTTCGTTGATGTTCAAATTCAGTTTTATCATCAATAATTGTTATGTGACCATGTGTGTGACCATTTCCAGTTTACAGCGATCGTGTCAAAACGACGCAACCAGATTAAACGTTATTGAAAAGATAGCGATGTATTTGAAACAAATTAAGTGGACACCTGCATGACGTTCAAAACTATTGATTATTTTCAGTAACACATTGATTACGATACACGAAAGAGTTTTATATTAGTTTTCCTATACTAAATTCTTTAATACATTTTTTTGTACTTTTGCACAAATATAGACATAAGGTTAAATAAAAAGTCAATGAAGAAAAGTCAAGAAGAAACAGAGACAATATCTGTGTCAAAAGTTAAAAAAAGAAAATTAAATTATGATGAGCCTTCAACAAAGTTCTTCTCAGTCAAAACAAAAAAAAACTTTCAGAATACATTGTTCTTAATATTTGCAAATTTGATTTTCGTGAAACGGAGACGAAGAACATTCACGACCACAATGGCACGATGTGTTATTTGTGGATGTATACTTGCAAACGAGGGTATGCGACTGAAAAAACTACATCGACATATTGATACGAACCATCCAAAAATGAAGAATATATGAAAGAAAATTAGAATCTCTAAAAACATAAAAAAAATAGAATTTTTCAATATTAATTTTGTATTGTAAGCAACTGGTAAATCAAACAGCGAAAAAAAAAATATGTCATTGATATTATTGTGGGTCACCAGGTTTTAAAAAATTTCCGAAATGGGTAGTATAATAAAAAGCTTTAGAACCTCTGGTGTAAGCCGTGAGGTACAAAATACTGTGCATGAACAAATTATACGTATAAACTTGTTTACTCGTCAAAGACTGTAGTAATTTAATAATGTATGTTAGTGTTACTATATTCTATGTAATATACTCATATTTCTACGTAATATTATTAGTCCGTCATAAAGTAAAATATCAAATTCTGATAGATAAAAACATCAAAAATATTATCATTATTCATTAAATAACAGTATATAATAATATACGGCAAGAATAAAATTTGACGTCAAAATATATTATAAATTATGTACATTGTGGCATTGTGCGTGTAATTATAGTATTGGTTGATTGATTCATTTATTGCGTTACAGTAAGCCAAGACAAAAATGGTTCATTTACGACAAATATTTTCGATCTATAATGTTTTAAAAAATAAATTTTTTAATACATAAATTCTAAAATATGATTTCGTAACATCAGTTAGACATTTTAAATATTATAAAATAGGAAGAATATAATACACCTATTATCATTAACAAAAAACAATTTAAGCTCATACACGTCCCTATACGTAGTAGATGTTATCTCAATGTCATGCACATCACCGTCCACCACACAATATCCAAATTCAATAAACTAACCATAGATATAATTATGTTTGTTCCATATTTTTAATTGTAAAAACTATTTTGGAGTTAAAGATTATGATATTGTAGTTTTATAATTCAAAAACCAATATAATACATGTTTACTGCACAATGAACATCATAAAATATAATTTATTTGTAAACTTCTAAAAAATATTTTTGTGTAACAGTAGAGGCGAACAGTAAGGAATATTATAATTTTCATACAATTATATACAATACGTATCACTTAGTCATACGTTTGGACATATGATTAAAAATAACAAATTCTTATGTTGACAAAAACTCGTTTTTATGTAGATTTTTCAAAAATGTCTTTTTATGCGTTGGTACAAATAATATTAATCTGTATTAGAATGTATAGCCGATAAGAAAATATACTCCCAGAGAAAAGGGACCACTAGATGATGCTCGCTAACAATGATTTTTGTTTATTCGCTTAAAACCCGAAAACTTAACTACCTATCACTTGCCCCTTACAAGCGCAGTGGATCAGCAACCCAATGTGCACGACGACGACTGCAACGAGGTTGGTAGATGATACCATACAGGATTCGAGATAATGCTAGTTAGTGTATGGGGTAGGGGGTCCCTGTGGTCGAAGGTGCAATGACCACTGAGCTCACACAAAACAGGAAGAATACTTAAATTAACTTAAACACTATACTGAAGTCTGGCGATGGTGGTCAGAGGGCAGAACTTGAAGACCTGGGCGGCCTCTCACACACCAAGTAGGGTGCTGGCGGACTTCCGCGGACTTGTATATTTGAAACGATGACCCGAGTGAAAATCAACACGGCAACCAATATTCGACCTGCAAAGCCGATCGTATCGGAGATGATATTGGCGAGTAAAATATACAAAAATATGAAAATAGAACAATAATAATAATAATAATAATAATAATAACACACAAGGAAAAACGGTAGGGGATTGAAGAGGGAAGGGTTGGACCGATAAGGTAGCAAGCCGTCGTGCTCATTAGCATATCGCAAGATTTACGGCACCAATACCTAATATACAGCAAACAAGTACAAACTTGGCACTTGCTCAAATTTTTATTTTTAAATTTAAATTTTTATTGTCTCAACTGCAGTCTCAAATGTACGTGTGCTTAAGCAACAATTGCCTGTTGTCAGTATATTTTTACGGGATATCAGTCTGGGGTTCAGGGGCGTAATTACGGGAGGGGGGAATATGTGGGATAGATCCCCCTCCCCCATAAGCTTAATTTATATATTGAATTTTACCTGCAAATATTTTAATTTCAAATTTATAAATTATTACAAAAATATAAAATGAAATCAATTTGTGTCAGTTGTATCCTATATTAGTATATAATTAGTTTGTTACTCGGTAAGCAATAAGCATAATGTAAAAATAAATGGTTATTTAATCTTTATCTTATTGGTTTATAAATACGGGATATCCTGCCTTACATTGTATCTAATTAGTAGGGCAGAAGACTTTGTGCATTTGCATATTTTTTTTGCATAGTCACAAAAATAGTAGAGCACGAAACCAACTATATGTTTTATACTTTCCCAAAGCAAGTTTTGAAATTTTATTTTGCATATAAATGCATATTTTGAGTTTTTTTAGTTTTTAAGCCATATTTCTTCCATTTTATACTTTTAAATGCATATTTTAAATAATTTATCGTTTTACTAACCAAACAACATTTTAATTTTTTGGTTGCTATTGGTTAGATAATCGGGCAGATCAGGTTTAAGAATGCATCAAATCGAATTTTAGTTCATTGCCTACCAAGGTGGTTGTCGGCCGAGTTACACTTATAGCCGCTCATCGGTATGTACACAATCAAAATAATTAATAAAATATGTTTTATCCACCGCAGGTAGATAGCCTACCTGATAATATACTGCTTACATTATCACATGAGTCTCATATAGAATTGGCATTTTTAAAAGGTAACTAAGTGCATGGGATCAGCTAGAAAAGATATAATAATGATACAATAGATCTTTTTTTCGACACGTCACTACGGCAGTTAATTTGTCTACTGATGATCATTCGTAATAGCAACGACTGCAACCGCTATTTTGCCTATATTTATGACGTAGGAATACTTTTTTTTTTTTATAAACTATAACCTAACATAACATCTTTAAGAAGTTATGAGTTGTTTCGAAAACATCGAATAGCTCAATTATACAAATTGGGCAAATCGCAAAATAATAATACTTTTCTTATCGATACGCGATAAACGTGTTTAACTATACAAATTATAATTATAACTATAGAATCATTAGAATCATTTGTAAATATAATAATAATTATTTTTTGAAAGAATTTTTCAAAATTAGACCTCTAAGGGAGTAAAAAGGGTTTTTTTTAAATAGGTATACAATTATACACGGGCAACGCCTTGACGGGATAGCTAGTATATACTATATAAAAAAAAGTTAACATGTTTTTTTTAAAGTTTTGGGTGTCGATAGCCGATTGTTATTAACTTCATAACCGTTTCGTATTAATATGAATGAAGCGTGTAGTTAATTTAATTTTTTAAACCCTAGTGTATTATAATAATTTCTCTTCCAGAAAAATATACAATTTAATATCCACAAAAAAATAAAAAATGCAATTAAAATATAGTAACGACATATCGGCTGAATTTCCCCTACAATTAGTTATGTTACTTTCAATGACTAGGTACTATAAAAAAAGAATTTGTCAAGTTGAATTCAATAAAAGAATTTTCAGAAATCTTAATAAAACAATCATTACTAGATTGAAGTGTTGCAAAATTAGAAACCAATTTAGTTATTTTTAACATTACCAGTAACACCAGCCAATACCGAAAGATCATTCTCAAAGTTGAAA